ATCCGCAACACTCAGATTTTATTCATAAACTCGAACTTCATCTGTAACCAGTGATCCAAACCAGTCATCTTTTTATACGAATTTATTTCATCGAATGCTCATTTTAAATGCCGCCAGCTGTAAGACTTCATTAAGTGGTTTCTTAGAGCTGTATTTTAAACTGAATTAAAACTGGTATTGAGTGACAGCCAGCATTTTACTTCACTTGATGAAATATATTTTAATGAATATAATGGTCGCAATATAATACTTTTCTCACTTTGTAGCAGAAGTAGATTTTTAATATCAATCATGACAGTAATAAAAATATGTTATCCAAAATATGAAATCTAAAACGTTTCTCAAGTCCAGCAAAGCTGAGATTTGATTTTTACATTTTATACTTTTCTGGACGAAAACCGTAAAGTAAGATTTTTCTCTCAAAATTGTTTTCTTAAAATAAAATTGTATTCTCCTTGTTACCTAGAAGACTTTTATTTAAGAAATCTGACTACATTAGAAATATACAGGGTGTTAAAAATAAAGACAAAAAATATTGAAAGTAAAGAGTAGACAGGTACATACTTCAAAAAATAAGAATAGAAGGTCATATATGTCCGGAAAATCTTTATTTCCGAAACACAGGATACGTAAGTTTTCGTAAAAACGTTGTTTTTGTTTATAATTTCCCAACGGTGAGCAACTCATTTATGAATCACAAACCACTTCTCGTAAAACTTTTACCGAAACGTTTAAATTGATGAATCAAGTTTCTGGTGATGAAGAACCCCAAAATTCAATGCAATATTGAATTCTGGAGTATATCTGCATAATAATACAATAATAAAATTTCTTTACTACATATACATTTCAATCTACCCAAGCAGAAACACTTAGATGATAATTTTATACAAATACTGGCAACATGTGTCTCCCAAGCAACATTATTATCCAATTGTATCCCCAGAAACTTTAGGTTTGCTACCTGCTTAACTGATATTCCATTTACTTTGACAAGATATGACTTCTTTAGTCTTGGGTGTAAAATTAAAAAAACAGTTTTACTTATATTTAAAAATAACTTGTTATCCAAGAACCATTTACTAAATACATATAACATACTTTGCTTTCATTAATAACCTGTGTTATATCATTTCTAGCGCACAAATAACTGTTATCATCAGGGCTGGAAAATCCACATGGTCCATCTGCCTTTACATGAGAGCGACAAAGTAAAGTAATGAAATCCGTGCGATAGACAAGGATGGCTATAGTGAAGACGTTTCATAATCTGAATAGTTACCGCCTGTTTCGGGTTAGAAGTGGGAGTGACTATTCAAATTATGAAACGTCTTCAATGTAACCATCCTTGTATATCGCACGGATTTCTGTTTTACTTTATCGCTCTCACGTAACGGACGATGTACCATGGGGACTTTCCGAACCTGTATAATTAACTCACGATCACCCACAGTTATCGGTAAATCATTAACAAAAAGAATGAACAATAAAGGTCCTAAGACAGAGCCTTGAGGAACATCGCAATTAATTATTAATTTATCCGATTTGACGTTGTCTATTTAAACAAACTGAAACCTGTTATCAAGATAACTTCTAACGAAATCATTAACTGGTCCTCTTAAACTGTAAGCATTCAATTTTATTAATAAGAGTTACTTAAGTCAATGAAAAGACCAACAGTTTTTTTCCATTTTCCAAATTATTATACAAATGTTCTAAGAAGTTTTGTATGGTTGTCTCTGTCTCTGTACTTTTGGAACATCGAAATTCATGCTGAGCGTCATGTAAAGGCCCCCACAGACACACGTTCTTTTTGTCAGTTTTGCCCGTACAGTTTTATCTGTACGGGTAAACACGAACAACGGTAACAGCCACACACTAGACGTGTTTTTTTGTTCAGTTTTTTTGAAATCGTGGTGTCATTAACATAAACCGTTCTGTGATGGAATGTACGACAACACTGGCAGTGGCGGCGGCAATTGCTATAAAATTTAAATCTAAAAAACAAAAAAAAACGTTCAAAATGAGTTAAAGAATGGTTACTTAAAAGAAAACAATTTTCACACGTAAATATTTTGCATGAATTACGACTAGCGCTGGGAGATTGGTTTAATTATTTGTGAATGGACGAAGAAACTTATTTAGAGCTGTTTACTTTAGTAACACGTACTATTAATTCAAAAACAAAAAACCTAAATGAGGCAAAGTATTACACCGCATGAGCGTCTTACCGCTACACTTAGATTTCTTGCTATTGGCAGAAGTTACGAAGACCTAAAAAAAAGACCAAAAGTGAAGTCGCAAAATACAAAAAATGCACTGCAAAAGACTTCTAGCACTTTACTGAAAAAAAAAAACGTCCTTTTTAACCGCGTCGTCACACACACGTACCGACTTGAACGAACACGTTCGAACCGGACGGTTTTAATCAAGCTGGGACATATTTACATATTTGTAAACGCGGAGAAGAACGACGGTTTTTAACCACACACCGGCAGTTTTACCTGTACAGATAAAACTGTACGGGTAAAACAGCCAAAAAGAACGTGTGTCTGTGGGGGCCTTAACATGTAATATATTTAGTCCGGTCAAATTAGACCAAAAAATAAGAGTGAAGGTACATAAATTTACAACAAGCTGAAAGTGAGTAAAATTGTTTAAAACATAATTAAAAATAACATATTAAAATTCCTCATCGTTCCGGTACTCAGAAAAAAAATTACTCGAGGTCGAAGGTAAAAAAAATGGGTTTTTCGCGATTTTCAGCTAAACGGTAAGTTTTAGCATAAAATTATTTCTGATAAAAATTGTAGAACATAAAATTATCTATAAAAAATGTATCAATACTTTTTTCCTAAGAGTCACCGTTTCTGAGATATAACGATTCAAAAAGTTGTAAAAGTTGTAATCGTCATAATATGCATAAGTACGCCACATACATACGTATATAGATACATCTCTGAAGCTGTAATATAAGTAAAAATATTTTTCCATCGGTGATTGTAACTTACACTTAAAATATAAAATATACATAAGTATAACTATGAGAATATCAGGTAAAATGAAACCCGACCATTATATATTACCATATTACCAAGTTCAAGTGGGGCTTGGTTATCAGCTAGACCCAAAAGACTGGGGTTGGAAATTGGTAGACAATACATTAGAACCAATTCAGACTTTACTCCCACCTGCGCGGAAAAACTTCTAAACACAATTTTTTGCAACTGTAAAAAGTGATGCTGTGCTAAAGTGGTTGCAAAAAAGTTGGACTGTTTTGTTCTCTGGCATGTACAAATTGTCAAGGCCGGTCGTTTTCTAATGTTGAATCACCAACAGTAGAGGATTCGTTTGATACCAACGAGGAGACATGTAATACATCACTATTGACGCAATTTACTTACACCCAGAATGAAGAAGAAGAGCAAGAATAAGTATTTGAAGGTTATGAATCAGACGAATAAATTCCTCTACTTTTTTTTAATTTCCATCGCTTTTATCATTTCCAACCCTTGCTAATATCTGTTATTATGCAATAGTTTCAAACTAAACAGAATCACAATGGACCTGTGGAATAGGCCTACTGGGGAAACCATGTTAAAAAAAACGCGCTAAGTATACTACCTCATAGGTGGCGTGGAAACGTGTGCATATTATGACGATTACAACTTTTACAACTTTTTGAATCGTTATATCTCAGAAAAGGTGGCTCTTAGGAAAAAAGTATTATACATTTTTTATAGGCAATTTTATGATCTACAATTTTTGTCCGAGGTAATTTTATGATAAAACTTACCGTTTAGCTGAAAATCGCGAAAAACCCATTTTTTTACCTTGGACCTCGAGTAAATTTTTTTCCGAGTACCGGAACTATGAGAAATTTTAATATGTTATTTTTAATTATGTTTTGAACAACTTTACTCACTTTCAGCTTGTTGTAAATGTATGTATCTTTGAATGTCTAGATTGACCGGACTAATTATATTTTGACAAAAAAGATATAATTCTGTTGGAAACCTTTTCTAATATTTTAGAAAGTATAGATAAAAAAGGAACAGGTCTATAGTTCTCGATAGTTTTAGGATCATTCTTTTTATGAAGAGGTTTAATTTTAGAAGTTTTTAATACGCCCAGGAGACACACCTTTAGACAATGACAGATTTATTAGGTATGTCAATGGCGGCAATATATAATCAATGCAACATTTTAAAATATTAGAACTAATGCCTTCTTCGCCGGCAGAACTTATTTTTTTTTAGATTTTTTATTAAATTATATATTTCTGCTTCATTTGTGGGTTGAATAAATAGTGTAGGATACGTTGTATTTAGATTTAAAACTGTATATGCTATATTATCGCCTAAATTTATTTCTACTTTTTTGTACACCTCATTAAAATATCTGTTAAAATGAGATACAATTTCTTTTTTATTCCTTATAACTGTATCATAATAATTGATCTCTGCAATTGAATAATACGTCGTCTCATCGATCGATACTTGTGACCGATTTTTTGACTAAAAATCGCATTTTAACTGACAATCCGTATTCGTCTGATTTGTCACTGCGAAATGCAGAACCCATCCAAAAGGTTTATACCGACATCCTGAAGGACATCCCTGTCGACGATCTAAAACACTCATTCGACATGCTTTTAGAACGTGCAAATTGCTGTATTGAGTCGGAAGACGACTATTTTGAATAAAATAAATCAGTTTTGCCAAAAAAATTTTGTTGTTCTTATTTTTAAAAAGTCCTGTTTTCTTTGGAACGCATCTTTTACTTACTTAGGTAATACCCTGTAATAAATATAAATTGATTTGCTAAACCTATTTGGAATAGAACCAACAAGAAATACGTTTACGAAAACTTTATCCATCTGCATCTTTTTTCTTTTCTGCGGTGCTTTTTACCCTCAAAATTTGTTTGCCCTTTTTTAACACTCTATAATTCTAAACTGTGAAAAATAGGGCACGTTTAACCAGTATTTGTTGTTTCAGTGCTCTTGGATGGAGATTGGGACTGCAAGTCGTTACTGGTGCCATCTCGGTAACGTTCATACTAGGAACGTTCTACCGATCAGCCTCGCTGTATCACCCCCAAAGACGGGCGATACTGCACATAAAAAACCAAAAACGAAAAATTAAGGATAAGAATAAAATCGAAGACAAAGTGCCATTTTTTGATTTCAGTACTTTAAAGAGTAAAACCGTCCGGATACTGCTCATATCGACTGGAATAAGTGCTTTCGGTATTAACACTCCCCTGTTCTATTTAGCCTACCAAGCTGAAGAAGAGGGGCTTGGCGACTCCACCGTCTTTCTCCAGATGTACCTGGGGCTGGCGTGGACCGTAGGATGCGTGGTGTTCAGCACTCTCGTCTTGCATAATTCTACGGAGTGCAGGATAGCGAGGCAGTACCTTTGCCAGACCGCGGTGTTTATGTGTGGTTTGTCGATATTAGCTTTCACTGTGGTCAGTGGCAACTACCACGCTTACGTCATGTTTGCCTGGATATACGGTAGGTCAAAATGTTAGGTGGCACTGGTCTCGTTTTTTCGTTACTAATTGAACTGACTTACACAGAAAAAAATTAGGTGTGAAAAATGCATTGTGATAAAATATTGAAGTGCAAGATTTTATACACGTGAATAAAACTAACAACTGAAGCTATAATAGTCATCTTTATAAGCGAATTCTACAAAAAATAAACTGAAACGTAGTCTGTTGTGTACATTTTTTAATTTGGTATCATTTTCTGTCAAAGTCAAAGAATACTCAACATGTCCGGAAACGCTTTATTTCTGATACATATTATCAAAGTTTTCGTAAAACAAATCCGTTCCCCCCATTTGTACCGACCAAATCGCGCGAACCAAGAAAGACAACGTATCTAAAGGGCCTCGCAGACGTTCCATTCGTGTGAACAGAACCGTATGGACCAAATCACGTGAACCAACAAGGTAACGTATCAAACCAAAACAGATTTTGTAGCGCTTTTTTCACCACACACTTCGTGTCTGGCACGTTCGTGCAGGCCCTTGCGGCACAATTCGCGTGAATTGAACAAAGTATGTGGGGCCCTTTAGTAGATGACATTTGTATGTTCGCATTTAACATAAAAAAGGTATATGTAAATGCCTAATAAAGAATTTCTAATACTTTTATACCTACTTAACTAAATCTTTTTGTATTCTTGTTTAATTTGTTATGATAACCCACACATTAACCCAAACCCAAAACCCAAGGAACGTATTTTTATTTTATATTGTTTTATTTAAATTTTTAGAGTTTATTGCCTATTTCCTGGTAGCTGATTCTGATGATATGAATAACGAAAAAATTGACTCATGTTCGCACATAATGACATTTGTCAAGTAAAATATCACTTTATTTTATTTTTTAATATTTTTAGTGATGTACACAAAGCATGAACTTGTATAAAACATGTTCCGTTCAAATTAAATTAATAATTAAATTGATGTTTTAATTCAGAAAATCACATATATGACATTTTGATTTTCATCTCTTAAGACGAAAATAGAATTCTTGGCTTCAGAGAAAAGCATTGCCACTCTGTACTTTTCTTGCAGGTATCTTTTGTGGAGGATATCATTACTCGCTGAAGATGTACACTTATGAAAGGGTTCGTGCGAGAAACTTTGCTAGGACTTGGGGTTTTGTCCAGTGTTCACAAGCTATACCAATAGTCATTGGAGTGCCATTTTCAGGTAAATATTTGTTGCATAGATTTTGGACACTTCCATATTTTAAAACAATTCCTTAGAAATTTTTGACAAAAATATTTTTTTCTACGAAAAATCTGAAAAAAATGTGCTAGATGAATTCGACCCGCTTATATTAAACTTGTTAAGTTTATGACTGGTTATTTTGATTCACAATCAGTTAATAATATGTGCATTACTAACCTTTCAAAATGTAAAATCACTTCCCAATTGCTAAAATGCTGCACGCATTTTGACACATCAATTTGTTAAGTTAAGAAAGAACATTTTATTTAATACATAAATACTTATACAGGGTGATTTTGAATAGAGTAGCACAAACGCTGCCAGTGCAATTAGATGAAAAAATAAGGCGGATGAACTAAATATACCTTAGACAAAAGTTGCACTCCTGAGGCATTACAGGGTCTTGAATGTTGTAGAGCCAGCCAATATTTCCTTCAATTTATCTTGAACGATGTGGCGTAAATCATTTATATTTGGTACAGACATTTGTCCAGTGCGGACACATACTTTCTATTAATATTGTTTAAATATATCCACCAGAGGTGCTGCTGTCGACTACATGCAACATATTACTCCAAAGAATTTTTCACCCTGTACGAAAATACATATCTTATTTACATTTTCGGACGTAACAACTAAAAACAAACATTTTTTCTCTCTTGCATTTTTCGATAAACGCGATAGTTTTTTTAAGATAATTTACGAAAAACAAACTTCGGAAATTTTACAGCGCCAATGGTTGCAGTAACAAACACATCAACACACCATTCTGTAATAGCAAAAAAACGCCTTTTTCGTAAAGTAATTTTAATAAATTTATTTAGGAGTATTCTTTATGTAACAAATAAAATTATTTTAAGTCTAATCTAACACGATTTATTTGAGGATTTCCTGCTTAAATTGATAAGTATGGGAATACTTGCCAACATCATAGTTGCTCCTGGTAAATGGAAACAAATTTGCTGAGTAAACAATTTGCTATTTTTGTGTTGATGTGTCAGTGTCATCAACGGTTTCAAATAATAGTTGTTTAATTATGGCAAATTTTACTAACAATGAGTATGTTAATATTCTCCAAGTATTTTTTGAATGTCACAAAAATTGTGCTGTCGCAACAAGATTGTACCATGAGAGATATCCAAATCGCCGGGTTCCCCACAGGCAAACTTTTTCAGCTGTGGAAAGAAGGTTGCGAGAAACTGGCCAAATTCAACCTAAGCGTGAGGGTAAAGAACAAAGACGGTATATCAGAAATGTAAACCTTGAAGAAGCTATACTTATCAATTTAGAAGAAAATCCTCAAACAAGTGCAAGAAGACTGGCTACACACTGTACAACGTTTCGCAAAGCCTTGTTTGGAACTTGATTCATTATAACCTTTTACGCCCTTTTCACTACCAGCCAGTTCAAGAATTAACTGCAAGGATTGTTTTTTGCCAGTGGTATCTTAACATGTCCAAAAACGACTTAAATTTTTTATCTCATATTTAGTTCACCGATGAGGCATGTTTTCAAAGACGTGGCTTAGTTAACCATCGTAATAGTCATACATGGTCTGATGAAAACCCCCATGAAATATGTCCATCAAGATTTCAGCACAATTTTAGTGTAAATGTATGGTCAGGAATTGTTGGAGATGCTCTAATAGGTCCATTTATTCTTCCCCGTCGACTGACAGCTCTTGAATATATTCGATTTTTAAATTAAAATCTCCCAATATTATTGGAGGATATACCACTATGTGTACGACAAGTTATGTGGTACATGCATGACGGGGCTCCGGCAGATAGTACCTTAGCTGTCAGGCAATGGTTGAATTTAAATTTTTCGGGACGTTGGATAGGTCGTGGTGTCGATGTACCTACCCGTTAGTTGGCCTCCCGTTCACCGGACATTACCCCACTTGATTATTTCTTATGGGGACAACTGAAAAGTCTTTTTTATGCTACTCCTGTTAATACTGTTGAAGAATTGCGTCAAAAAATCTTTCTCGCAGCTGACGATATTCGTACCAACCCAGAAATATTTGCAAGAGTACGTCATAATTTTAATCGTCGTGTTAGATTGTGTTTACAGAAAAATGGGAACTACTTTGAAAATATTCTTTAGAAACTTTTTACTTTAAAATAACGTTATGTTCCTTAGTATTACATTCGAGATTACAGTAGGTAGTTTTAAATTAAAATTTATTATTTAAATTAGACACTTAAAATAACTTGATTTGTTACATAACGAATACTTACTGTTCCTTCAAAATAAATTTATTAAAATTACTTTACCAGAAAAGCGTTTTCCTTTAGCTATTAATGAGTGGTGTGTTGATGTTTTTGTATTACTGCAACCTGACTGCAACCATTGGCGCTGTAAAATTTCCGAAGTTTGTTTTTCGTAAATTATCTAAAAAAACTATCGCGTTTATCGAAAAAATGCAAGAGAGAAAAAATGTTTGTTTTTAGTTGTTACGTCCGAAAATGTAAATAAGATATGTATTTTCATACAGGGTGAAAAATTCTTTGGAGTAATATGTTGCATGTAGTCGACAGCAGCGCCTCTGGTGGATATATTTAAACAATATTAATAGAAAGTATGTGTCCGCACTGGACAAATGTCTGTACCAAATATAAATGATTTACGCCACATCGTTCAAGATAAATTGAAGGAAATATTGGTTGGCTCTACAACATTCAAGACCCTGTAATGCCTCAGGAGTGCAACTTTTGTCTAAGGTATATTTAGTTCATTCGCCTTATTTTTTCATCTAGATGCACTGGTAGCGTTTGTGCTACTCTATTCAAAATCACCCTGTATATGCTCTAACTATGCATTAACTAATTATTACATTTGGTTACTAATGGTTACATTTTAGTATTCGTGACTTACTTTAGATGTTCTTTGATTACCTACATACATTTTATTTTGTGATGCTAGCAATTTTAAATGCCCTTCCAAATAGGCATGGCTACAGTAGTACAGTTTCTATTCCCTCATACTGAAAAATATCTCCTTCAGTTTACTAGCAAAGTAGCTACTGTCTGTCTAAGGGAATAGTTTGGACAATTTCCAATGACATTATATCTAAATAGCCGCTTTGTAATTTTACCAAACCTGACTTGCAGTCTGCCAGAATTCTTATATTGGCTTAAGATTTTTATCCATTCTGGTTTAGTTATCATTATAGTCGATGTATCGTCGTTTAAATCGCAGCATCCCTGCTATTTCAAAGCCTATTGTGGTTTAGCTATGGTTTATGCTTTATGGTTATCATCATAGATCTATGGTTATCACAAACAAACGGCGAGAGTAAGTTTTTGTGTCAAGAATCACTGTCACTAGTCTATTTTCTAAAAAAAAATCAGTGTAGCCGATCTTCATTTTAACATATCTCACTACACCTGCAGGACAGAAATTTCAATAAATAATTAAAGCAGTTTAAAATATGAATAGTTACAACATTCAAATCTAATTAACATAGACGTCAATTTTACATTTTAAGATGTTGCAGATGCCTTCACGATAAAATACACTCGACATTTTAGCCTTGCAACTAACATATTTTTCCAATAATGCTTCAATCTATCAAAACTACTAATATTAGTTTTCTGTGTAAGATTTAACATAGTCCACAATATTGAATATATTATAACCATAATGTGAAAGATTTCTCTTTTTGAGTTAATTATTTGGAATTTTTTTACTGTTTTAGTGGCGCATCAATTATAATGTTTCGTAATTTTTTCGTACCGTGACCTAGCTGACTTCAGTACTTATTACGACTGGGTCGGCAAGCTCGGTGCTCATCTGTAAATCAAGCACTTTTTTTTCTTTTATTTGCCATAGTTAATAAATTTGTATTAGTGAAGCAGTTAATATTTTTTCTTGTTATTTCAGGTTATATGAACGAAAAATGTGGGGATCGTGCAGGGTACTACTTTAGTTCAACGTGCGTTTTAGTGGGAAGTCTAACTCTATTCCTAATAGACCTACACAGAAGAAAAATTTCACGCCACAAGCATACCAGAGAGAATGGCACACGCCATCTTTGCGTTTCGGAGACTTGTCCACAGAGAAGAAAACTTTCATTTTCCCAGGAACCCGATAACAAAGATGGAGGCGTCACTCCTGGGGCAGCCGCGGCTGCTCTGGTGCTTGGCACCGACTTGGGGGCAACCCAAGGTAGCGGACTCATAGACAATATTGTTGTATCCAATGACAAGCCTGAGTTAACTTGTATTTCAGAAGAAGGTATGATATCACAATTTTAATTCCATTCTATTTGAACTCAAAATAAAATGTTTCAGGTCAAATTTTTCAGGATGTTATGTCCCTCTTTACCCCAAAATTCCTCCTAAAACATATACTATAATTTTCCAGTAATTTTTTTAGAAAAAAACACCAAAATTAGGAAAAATACAGGATTTTGCGTGTATGGCTAACTTTTGTCTTTCTCTCAGCTAAATATTTTGACTATTATTACTACATTGTTGGAAATTATTACGAATTTTAGCGGACGGCCATGTTTTCCGTGAAATTTAAAAAATTTTCTAAATATTTTGGCAATAATGTCACAACCCATTCAAAATCTAAAAATATATAAGGCATCTCATTTAAAAAAAAACGTATGCTTTTTAACCGCTACACTTTCATACATCACACTGTACTGGGTGCAACTTTGAATGTGGATCATATTTATATAGAAACCATCTATAACCTCTAAAAACACATCAGTTTATCCTCAAGTTTCGTCATAAAAACTTATTTTTGATTTTTTGTAATTTACCCGTCCCTGGACTAGCTAATGTACCTAACCTCAAACAGTAGTATAGATAGATCAGTAGGGGCAGTTGTACTTTCGCGCCATGCTAATTTCAGAATTCATTCATGCTACTCTTGATATATAATATATTTAAACAACCAATTGAAGTTAGAAAGGGAAATACTAGATGAGGACTCTCCAGTCGCGGATTTACGCAGGTCAGTTATCTCTCTTTCGTCATAGCCCCACGTTGGGCGCCGAATTCGACTAGCCTGCGGTGGAGGTGACCTACTTTCATCTCCCCCTTATCATCAGAACGCATTAGGCGTTCGCGGTCCCGTCGCATCGCGGTCCGTTCTGGGTTGAGATGCTCCGCTCCTGCTCCTGCTCGCGCTCTACTTTAAATAGTTGAGATATTGTTTTAGTAGTTAAAAAAATGAGTTATATGGATGAGGAAGCTCATCTCGATCGCATCGCGGTCTCAAGATCGGTGGAGAACGCGATACGAGCGAGACGAGCTCGGGAACGTCTAGTGCGAATGCATACATGGGAAGTAACTCCACTGCGCGCGATCGAGACTAGCACGGTCCGCGATGCAACGGAACCGCGACCGCGTTCTCTCCTTAAGAGTATTGGAAACCCTCATAATGGATTTGGGTGGAACGTTTCTGTCTGGATCCATTTTCACCTGCCTACGGTGCTAGGACGTTAGTCGTCTCGTGCGTTTGCCTTTTGGCGTTTGCCACGAAAGGAATGACGCGGAGAGAATTCTTATTTCATGCATCGGGTTGATGTTCCACACTCTAATTTATGTTTTTTGTTTAACCTAAGAGACACTGTAGGTAATATTACTTGATATTATCGAATTTGTATTACTGAAAATGTTTGGTAAACAGGATTTTTTTATTGAACCCTGTATACAGGGTGTCCCGAAATTCATGCAACAAAATTTGGTCATAGATTCTTAAGACATATTTAGGGGACTCGTATTTTTTCTTTTTGCCAACTGGCCCCCTATTTCGGAGTTACAGCCCCCTGAAATCTTCCCCTAAGAAGTCTTTTTTATGTCTTAAAACCATGTTGTACGAGAAACACTAAATTTGGTATACAGGGGTTTTATGAGATGTGGAATCTCACAGTGCTACGCTTTTTGATGAGAAATCCCTTAAGACACCGTTTCGTGGGCTTCCTTGTTTTGGACCAGAAAAATTTGGTCGCAAATTTGATTTTTTTTTTAATTAATAGTTAGCTAGAAAGACATTCAATTTAGAAACTTTTTTGTCTCTTGATATTTGTTTCGTAAAACGCAATGTTTTTGAAGAAAATGGCGAATCACGATATGCATTCGATCACATTTTGACATTTTTCTCGAAAACATTGGGATTTACGAAAAAAGTATAAAGAGACAAAAAGTTTCTAAATTTAATGGCTTTCTAGTGGCCTGATAATTTTTAAGAAATTTAAATATGCGACCAAATTTTTTTGGCTCTAAAGACAAGAGGGCCCTCGAAAAATTGTCTTAAAGCAGTTCCCCGCCAAAAAACGTTGCACCATCAGATTCCACATGTCATAAAACCCCTGTGTACCAAATTTAGTGATTCTCGTACAAGACGGTTCTGAGATATAAAAAAAGATTATACTTAGGGGCGGACTTCAGGGGGCTGTAACTCCGAAAGAGGGGGCCACTTGGCAAAAATAAAAAATACGGGTCCCCTAAATTTGTCCTAAGAATCTGTGACCAAATTTTGTTGCATGAATTTCGGGACACCCTGTATATCACTGGCAGGTATGTTACCGTAATATCTGAAATTCACTGTCTTTGCACTGGTTGGAAGCACTGTATTGTGCGGCCTCCGTAGAGTACTGATAAGTAAAGCTTTTAGAAACTTGATAATATTGCAGTGTGGAAGCTATGTACAAGAGCGTTGCGATAGCTTATAATTTTTTTGCAGAATTATAACTCGATATGCGGTTTTAAAATTAATAAGCTTGCGATGTGAGTTCTGTCTATCTGGCCAGGCATACATGCGCTGGTTAAGTAACTGCGAAAATTCGGGGTTGAGGTTCTGAAACTAATTTGTATTAATCCCGACCCTAAGGTATTTTAAGGGTGCGAATTTGAAGTTCTCTGAATGTTGGAATTTTCGCCACTTTTTTGGAAAGTCGGGTGAACATTTTTTATGCCCCTGGCTCTCAGCAGCGACCTCGGGGAAGTGGCACACGTTGTCGTCATCGGTTGAGGGAACGGAGGACTTTCAACAGCAATTTTCTCATTCGAAACGTCGGTGATTTTTAATAGAATGATTATGTAGTCAAACAAAATGTCCGCGGATGTTAACTTTGTTAATTTAAATTGAACACCCTGTATAGTTTTACACATTTGGATAGAACGTTCCCTACGTAAACAACAGTTTAAGTACTGTTTAAAAAACAAATTTTACTCGACTCTATGAAAAAAATAAGAATAATTCCAGATTACTATTCTGGGGAACACATACTATTACCCCTAAAAACTGCTTCACACCCCCCCTCCACTCCCAGTTACACCCTGCGCGTTAGAAATTAATTTCAAAATGGTTTCTTTTATCAATTCCAAATATTTTCTTGATTTTTCTTAGACAGAGCTATTTCTATACAGGGTAGGAAAGTACCGATGGGCTATCTGAAGTTATGTGAGAGCGATAAAGTAAGCCATAGAAATCCATGCGATAGAGAAGGATGGCTATAATGAAGGCGTCTCATAGTCACCGCCCGTTTCGCCCTTCCACAAATAAGATCAACTTCTTATTTGTGGAAGGGCGAAATGGGCGGTGACTATTAGATGCCTTCACTATACCCTTCCTTGTCTATCACATGGATTTCTATGGCTTACTTTATCGCTCTCATGTAACTTCAGATAGACCATCGGTACTTTCCTACCCTGTATATCAATATTTATATTGATCATTGCCTCATTTAGAAAGTATTTTAAATATATGTTTATATTTTAGGTATAGCAGACATGGATCTTCCAGATAACCTTTTAGATGATTTAGATTACATAGGAGACTGCATCACGTCGTGTAATAAAGTAGAAAACTATTTAATGCTTAGTGAATTCGAAAATAATTTAATAGCGGAAATGCCTGTGATATTAGACAGGAGGGGTAGGCGCTGGTCCCTTGCGAGACCAAAGCTCTCGCAAAACGAAGACGCCCCAGCCGAAGAAGAAAATGGCGTATCTAAGGGTAACGGAAAGTGGAAAGTTTTTCCGAATCGTGTAATTACTGTAATAGATGAATCGTCCGTTTAGAATTTTTTCTATATTTTACTGTTGAATATACTGCCATTAGGAACGTAAAGACTCTACCTCATAGATAACGTCATAGAGAACAGAGTACGTAAGTGGAAAGTACAATAATGAATTTTTGGTTTGTGTAACATTTGTAGTGAAAATGCTGTGTAATTAAATTGTAGTAATTTATATATTCTAAATATATATTATTATCCATTGTATGTCTTTCATTTTAAATGTTTAATTTTAATCAACTTATTTTGTTTTATCGACGTTAATTCATCTTTGAAAAATGAAAAGTTCGATATTATGCCAAAAACACCATTGAGAAAATAAAATTTTCAATATTTTATTGAAGGGGTTGGTATACATACAGGGTGGCACAAAAGTATGGAAACCCCTGAATAACTCGTCAGGAGTGCATTTTCTTGAAAAATGATAAATACATGTTTTAGGATTTTCTCTGGCTATTCAATGGCGCCCTTGTATTCCACCTTGACCCTGACCTTCGAGGTAATTTCAAGGTCAAAGCTGTTTTTTCAAATTTTTTATTACGGATTTGGAGAGCAGGAAATTTTACGTCCAAAAATGGTCTTGACCACGACTGTGACAATGACCTTGCTCTTTCCAAATCCGCAATAAAAAATAGGGGTTCCAATCTAAAAAACTTGACCTTCAAATGACCTTGAAGGTCAAAGTCAAGGTCAAATCCAAGGTCACAATCAGATAGCAAGGGAAAAATCCTTACACTTTTGTCTGAAACATTTTTCCCAAAATGCATTCTTCGAAAGTTCTGCCGTACCAGGACTTTTGGAAGTCGACCCACATTTCACCTTGAAGGTCATTGTCAAAATCATGGTCAAGACCATATTTGGACGTAAAATTTCCTAATCTTTCCAAATTCTCAATAAAAAATAGGGGTTCCCGTTTGAAAAATCAATTTTGACCTTGAAATGACTGAAGGTCAAGGTCGAATACAAGGGCGCCATTGAATAGCCAGGGAAAAATCCTAAAACTTTTGTATCTATCATTTTTCAAGAAAATGCACTGCTGACAAGTTATTCAGGGGTTTCCATACTTTTGTGCCACCCTGTACATACTTTAACAAGGGCACCTGCAAGAAAAATATAAATAAAAAAAAATGAAGATTAGAAAATTGTCAGACAGCCAGTTATCAAATTTTAAACATTCGACTAGATACCAATAAAATAAAAAAATCTATATTTTGTTGAAAGCACTAAGCAATTTTTTAAAAATTTTATATATTTTGCAGCCAGATAATACAATGGCGCATATGATGACCTATTTTATTTGTAATATTATACAGGATGATATATTTTTTTGGCAAATAATTATCGATGATGCCCACACCTCTGCCACTGGTAAGTTTCTAAAGCTGGTAATTTTTACTTCATACCTACTGTCATACTAAATATGCACACCGATTTGGTTAAATTATCTCAAACGGTTTAGAAATTAAAAATTAAAAATTGATTTTTTTTTTAATTTTTGACACGCTGTAGCTGGACAATAGCTGTCCTAAGACCCTACTTTTATTTAACAATCCTTATTTTTGACCACAAAATACTCCCCCTGGATTTTTGACCTCTACTTAAAAAACACCCTGTATATATTACATTGAGAAGAACTTCAACCTGTAGGAGATACGAGGAAGGAGGTACCTTTAAAACAAAATATATTTAAAAAGTTTATTTTTAAAAACTACAATTTTTTTATTTCTAGACCTTAAACCTAACTGTATTTTCCTAATGTCTAAGTCAACTTTGTACAAATTACAATGACACAATATGAAAATACTTTATTTTTGGTGTAAATAGTTACTGTACAGAAATTGCACAATCGTTTTTGTCATGAGATCAAAACACTTTCAGTGCAAATATACCTCAGTACAGTCTCTTTATAAAAATATCTCTGAAGTGGCAAATTATAGAGAGCAGGATAATACTGCTATTTAACTGTAAATATAGTGTTTTTTTATGACACAAAATTAATTAACATGAAATTTGTACTCTACATTGATATGGTATAATGATCTATAAATGGCATGAAATACATATGATTAAAATTATTGAGAAAATGCGTATCTGCATTAAAATCAACTAAATTGAATCACTGAAGCAAACACCCAAATGTATATTTGCTTACTTACCTACTCTTCACTGTAAAAGCAAATAAAGAGGTCCATGATTTACTATAAATCATGGATCTCATTTTAGGACCAAAAATAATGGCAAACATTTTTTTCATTTGTTTTGAAAAATAATAGTTTTTTTTTATTACTTCATTGATTATTTAGCCACACTACGAGGAAACAGAAAATCAACATTTTTAACACTAAAGTATCACTTAAGAATTTGCTTTTTTATGTATGTGATGATACAATCGACAACTTTATAATAATAAAGCTTTTTTTGCGAGTGAAGTCGTATGTTGTAGTATATGTAGCATGAGTGAGTGAAGAGATTTAAACTACCATATGACAACAAGATCAAATGAGATAGAAATAGTAACTACAAGTCAGATATTCCCTCGCAAAAAAAGCCTATAAAGTACCTACATTTCTGCCACAATAATCAAAATTGTTTACCAAGTGTCAGAAAATTACATATGTTGAACACAAAAATTAAGTCATATAAAAATACCCAGTATGGTTGCACTAACAGTCTGTATCTTTTTTTTTTTTGGAATTCGAGTTTAAATATACAGGGTCCATGCATTCCTTACAGGAGGTTATAGTATGTTCCGTCATTTTTGTTTTTGGCAAAGTTGGCAAAACTGCATTCAAGGTCAAGGTGTTGGGAGCAGAACACGTGCTCATTTGTCTCAGTCAGTTGAGAACTGTTATTGTAGTGGCGTGTTAAAATGAGTGCCATTATCCCTAATTCCGCCAGTTGCGAAGTGAAGAGCATAATCCGGTTTCTTCTTACAAAAGGAAATTCAAAACAGTTTATGGGAATGGTGTAATGAATTGTACTAATGTGTACAAGTGATGTCGTGAGTATAAAGCTGGCAGAAAGAATGTTCATGATGAACAAATGAGTGGGCGTCTCTCAATTGTGACTGACGAGATGATGAACGAGATCGAAGGAATGCTTCGTGGCGACCGTTAATTGACTTTGGACGAGATAAACGCAGTGTTTCCACAAATTTACAGATCTCTTCTGTATGAAATCATTACTGAAATAGTTGGTTATCAAAGACTGTGTGCGAGGTGGATACCAAAAAAGCTCACGGATCAACACAAAACTTTATAGAATCGCATCTTCACAGGAATTTCTCGAGCGTTTCGAACTGAAAGGTAAACAATTCCTTGACTGTATTGTAACTGGCGATGAAACGTGGGTGACCCACTACACCTCTGAGACAAAAATACAATCAATGCAATGACGACCATCAGTGAAAAAATTCAAAACAATTTTGGGTTAGTAAAGGCTCGCCGACTTTTGGCCCCAGAACTGCGCAATACTGTGAAAAACTGAAAAAACTACGGAGGGCGATACAGAACAAGGAAGGGGGAATGTTAACAAAGGGAATGTGCTTGTTGCATGACAATACACAGTCCCATACAGCCAACTCCACAAAGCAACTCTCGGATTCATTCGGTTGGAACATTATTAAATGCCCCGCTCACAGCCCTGACCTGGATATGCCTCATTCATTTCGCTAATCTGCACTGGGATCGAACAGTAATAAAATGGATGTTCGTGAAACTATATTGTTGGTTTGAAGTTCTAAAAGTGTAAAAGATATATTCAAATTCAAATTCCAAAAAAAAAAAAGGGGGATTACTGCAACCATACTGAGTATTTTTATGACCCATATTTTTTTTAATTTCTTTAAATGTAGTGACCCATGACTCATCAACATGTGAAATACTCTAACAAAACAAGTGAAGCCATGGTCCACTCAGTGAAAATTTGGAACTCCACCTCTCCGCCTTATTTTCGCACCAAAATGTCGAGCTTTAGTAATTTTTATAAATTTTTTTCTAGTGTGGCAAAATATGCTATTAAATAAAAAAAATACCATGTAATGCCATAAACAATTACAGAAAAATATATTATCAAATTATTACTAGCATATTAAAGTATAACAAATTATCAATACAATACAATGCCTACAAGATTACAAAATTGATAATATAGGTAATCACAGTTATGATAAACATTTTCATTAATTTTGTTACCTTTAAAAAATTTATTATTAGTATAACGACATTGAGCAATTTTTAATTACTAAAATTTTGAATAGTCAACAAGTTATCACCCATCAAATATTAATTATTTTCTATCTTATTCTGTTGATTATTTAATTTTTTATATTACATTTTTTAAATATTCATAGTAAATTTACTTGTTAGAAATAACTTTTTTCCACAAATACAGAAAAAAAAATCATAGTGTCATATCTTTCTTCACTCAAATCATGTTATAAATATACGATAATACCACATTTTCGTTATTTATAATACTTTCTATAAATTAGTTGAGTTTATTCATATAATTAAATTAGTATGATTGTCAGAATAAATTAATAAGTGATGTAATAAATTCTTACAAATATTTAATACCGAAATTTTTACATAAATATCAGACCACATTTTCTCAAAAAAAATATATGTGTAAATATTACACAATTACATATTAGATCTACACAATAAAATTTTATAAATCTTTGAGATAAATCAATAAAATAAAATATTTCAAAACTGATTATACTTCAATATAATTAAACGCTACATAAACATATAAGGTAGTAAAACAATCCATCTAAAAAGAACACTCTAAATATCTTCAATCCGTTCGTAAAAAACAGATAAAACATGAAAAGATGAAAAAATTGTACTCAATATGCTCTCTTCTAAATATATAAATAATTATATACCCAAATGTACAAATCATCTTTAAATGTTAATTACTTCAAGCAGATGTATTACGAACTAAAAAACCTTAGGTATAAGTACATGTTTCACCCTGTTACAGTATCTGTCCCAGGCAGCCCCGTACTTTAGTCTACACCGTGCATTATCTCTTACCGAGCGATGGATCAGTAGTAAAATCACACCGACTGGGTACAAAATCGGTGGGGCACACCAGACAAATGGGACAAAAGACAAGTGCATTAAAATGTCACCCAAGTAGTTAGGATGCCTAACGATGCCCCAAAATCCAGATATGAGAAGTTTTTTTCCTTGTGTTGTTGGGATCGTTTCCAAATCTGAAAACAATTTGATCATATTGCAGATAACCTCAAAATTTAATTGTAATAAAATTAAGACTGATAGTGACGATACATTGAGAACATTTATCACGTATCAAAAAGGAAAAAAAAAACACTAAATACCTTTTAACTTCAGTTTGAGATAAATATTGAAATTAATTTGTTATTATTATTTCAGTCAAAAGGCAACAATCTTTTTTTCAATAACATCTAGAGAAAACCTATAATCAGGGTATCCCAAAAGTTAACATCATGCCAACAAGGGGTGATAGGCCGACCCATGTCTAGCCAAAACAACTAAATTCCGCCATAGTAAAAATTTTGTTATTGTTCTATTATTGTGAATAAATCAAATGGGACTTTATTTCTCATGTTTATGTTGTATATGTGTATACAATTCCGATTTAATATACTCCCTTGGAACATGTTAACTTTAGTGATTTTTAGTGACTGTAGTTAATGACTAATTATAGTCACTAAAATTTTGATAAAGTTAATTAGAGTTTAAAATATTACTGAGAATGTATGCGTTGTTTACGAGACATCCATCAATAAGTTTTGACATAAGCCTACTTTGAGAAAAGTCACTAATTTTCTACACCATAATATTGTAAGAGTTCAATTAAAAGTCATTTTTCCTGAAAACTGTCCACATTAGGAAGTTCTAACATTATTTTTGGAAAATAAAATTGTACATTAGAAATTGGAGCCCGAATGGTAAAAACCATAACCTTAAAAAAATTAGAACTTAAAATGTAATACGAGTGTAACATAACTAGCGCCCTCTATGAAATATCCAAAAAATAATTAGACCAGCGTATTTGGCGTCCTTAAAAACCCCGGAGTACCAAATTTCATAAAAATATTTTGCACCGTTTAGAAATTTTCATAAAAATTCTATTTAAAAAATTTTATTTTATCGCTCTGTATCTCAAAAACAAGAGGAGATAGACATATAGTTCATATGAAAAAAAATCTTATTTTTTGTCGTACTATCACCCCCTGTATTTACTGGAGGTCTTTCTGAAACACCCTGTATAAGAGGTGGTCCAGGTATTAACAGGAAAACTTTGCTAGACTAGAAAACAAATTGTTTTAAGAAAGTTTCGTATGAACGTAGATCATGTTTCATTTTGTTTTTGAGATACAAGATGCCGAAATTAGAAAATTGTCACATTTTCTGAAATATATCTGAAGATGTTTGACATAGACTGATGAAACTTGTGCCTCCGATTTACCAATCAGAAGTAAAAATATACTAAGTCAACTTACAAATATTTCAAGCAGTATGGCATTTCTAGGAAAAAAAGGGTTTGTCTAAAGAATCAATTGTTTTAGAATTCTGATATTTTAAATTCATTTACCGCATTCAGTTAAACTGCTTTTGTAAAATGAATAGCTCTAGGTTCATTTTTGATTTACTTATTACGCTTATTTTAACATTCAGAAATAAAAATTCCAAAAGATTTTGTTAATTTTAAAATTAAACAAGTACAGGGTATCCCAAATTCGACGCCCCAATATTACTAAATAGCAGTCAATTCTAAAATAATTATTATTAGTCGTTTGTAATAATTATTTTTACTTCTACTTTTTATTGAAAATATGATGGAGAAAAATTTTTTAAATAAGTTTATCGGAAAAATATATTCTTATTAAATGTGAAAAAATAGTTCCTGGGAAAGAAATATTTCATGATGTCATCAACACAAGTTTCGAAATATTTAAAACTTTAATTGTTGGTGCAAAATGCACTTCAATCCATTGTGCTTGAACCCTGTTACCCTGTAATATCATTAGGGCATCGAGTTTGGAACATCCTGTACAATACCGCACATCTTGCTTGCCTTTGTTATTTTGCAAAAACATTTAAATTATTATTAAATATTTTTATATGTAATATACAGGGTGTTATATTTTTCAACTGTGTGTGTGTATAGATATTGTTTTTGAAATTAATATGGTATATTTTTTTTAAAGTAGTGAAGGAACGAGTTTAGTCTACAAAAAAATATGACAACTCTGTACAAAAACTTTTTTCTACAAATGACTAAAAATTTACGTATCATTTCCCAAATGTGACTTCACCCAAAAACCTAATTTAAAAGGTGTCAAAATAGCATTTTCTTATTTTATTTTTTTTAGTTTGCTCCATTTATTTTATTTATTGCTGTAAGTTCTTCATAATTGTATATAAACCACTAAAACCTAAGTTCGATATTTAAATTGACTTACGAGACAATGCCGGGCTATATGGATTCTTCCTGAAAGCGTCCTTCTGATTGTTGCTGGCTCTGTATAAAATGTAACCCAAAGAAAAAGTGAGAGATATTAGCACCAGTTTCCAAGAAGCCAGTTCCACTCCGTGACTAATTATATGTTTTGGTATTAACGACGAAATAAAAGGATATGTTAAAAAACCCATTACTGTCAAGTATCCAAATGCTTCCTGCCCAGCTTCAAATGAACTGACCCAAACCGATTCAAAAATGAGTATGTCTAGACCGATAATAGAATGCAATAAAACGTATATCAGTAACGTTTGTTGTAAATGAAGGAGTTTCGGATCAAATGCCTTATTCTCCGATATTTTTGTTGCTGAAGAAATGTCCAAACTGTTGTACAAAAATGCGAAATCAATGAAAATCTGTAAAAAAAAATAAGCTAATTGTAAAATTTTTTTCGTGAAATGTTTTGAAGAAAAATCAATAAAACTAAATATTAAATAGCTGCCTTAGCAATATAGAAAATTTTGTCACTGTTTGCTGGTTTTTCTATTTTTATAAACGATTATATAGTGTCCATAAATTTGAAAAAAAATTGGCAAATATTTTGAGACAGGTCGATTTTTACTTTTAGCAAATTTTTTGATAACTTTACCTACACAGGAATATCTCTGTAAGAGATATGACGTCATTGACAATTTTTTTAAACAGAAAATATGAGTATGAGTGTTGTCTTTTATATTTTGGGAATACACAACGTAAAAAATAATCGCACGGAAATGTTCACGACAATTCAATTTTTTGGCCGAGATGAATTATTCAATTCAAAATCAAACTTTAAGATAGGAAACTCGGTTGTCAGATGGCAGCACCAGGATCGTCCATTCCCGAAATATAAAAGGCTGCCCTCATATCTATTCCTTCAAAAAAATGTTTACTATTCTTATTCAAACATTATGAAATCTATCCACATTGTTATAATAATTAAAATATCTAGACTGTTATATGATTAATATTGTGCCAAGGTAGATAATATACCTCCCAAGAAGTGGTATCAACCAGACATTTTTATCCTATAACACCCATGATGCGTTCAACATTTAATCCTACAAGTCTGTTATTTAACTTAAAACAAATTGATAATTTCAAGATGTTACTAATAATTTATTTTGGTGATAGAATGTGTAAGCAAGAAGTTTGTACACTTTCTGTTTGTAGACAAAAAGTCATTCTGATTTTAGTTGTCCCAAATAATTACAATGAACTTTTGCATGGCAACCAAAATGATAGAAAATGTATCTTCTGGATTTTTTTACATTTGCTTTAAATCATCCTGTATATTGAGAACAGGATACATTAAACAAAACTGAAATATTTTCACGAAGACACTCCCTATTTGATAATGAAAATGAGAATGAAATGCAAGAAAGTCCAAGAATGTTGTTGCATGTTGCATATTATTCTCGATTTTGTCTTTAAGGTAATTACATATTGATTCATTACACAGGGTATAGGAAAAGTACCGAAACGGCAGAATAACTCGGCGGGAGAACATTTTAAAGAAAAATGTTAAACACAAAAGTTTCAGGATTTCTCCCTGGCTATCCGATGGTGGCCTTAACATTGACCTTGAAGGTCATTTCAAGGTCAAATGTGATTTTTCAAATGACGACCCTATAATTTTGACCCCAGAAATGAAAAAAGCGGAAAATTTCATGGTCAGATACGACCATTTTGACCTTGGAACCCCCACAAGGTCAAACTAACAAAAGTACAGGAACGGCAGAATAACTCGACGAGAGAGCATTTTAGAAAAAAATGTTAAATACAAAAATTTCAGGATTTCTCCCTGGGGGCCCCAAGGTCAAAAGGAAGGGGTCACTCAAGGTCAAAAGGGAGAGGTCACTCAAGGTCATATCTGAACGTAAAATTTTCCTCATTTCTGGAGTCAAAAGTATAGGGTTCCATTTGAAAAATCATATTTGACCTTGAAATGTCTTCAAGGTCAATGTCAAGGTCACTATCGGATAGCTGAAACTTTTATATTTAACATTTTTCTCTAAAATTCTCTCCTGCCGAGTTATTCTGCCGTTCTGGTAATTTTGCTATACCCTGTATATGAATATACTCATGTGCATCTCATTTTCAGTTTTTTTCTTAGTGACAACTTTCCTATTATTTCGTTCCGTTTATGAATTGGATAAAAGTCCTACTTACAGTTCCAAAAATGCAGCTTCTGAAGAACAGTAACTTTAAGTCGATTGTAGAAAATATCCTGGGGTTCACTTCTCTCCCCAAAAAAAATCCATAAACTCCAGGTTTTCCAATGACATAGGCATTGAGGGCGCTAACAGGAGCATAGAAACTTCTGACATAAGCATATACAGAAACTACAATGCCGCAAAAAATAGAGGCAACCAGTAAAGGCAAAGTATGTACAATCATGAAATCAGCAATGGGAACACGCCTCAACTCTAACGCACCACCTATCAATAGCAAAACAATGCAACTAAATAGACCATTCATTACATAACAAAATTTGCCGTGTTTATTTGGTAAAGCAGCAACTTTTAGCCCTCCAAATGGCAAGGCAGATAGTAAGGCCACCAAAGTCAGATATGCTACGAAGCATAAACTTGCAGTGGCATTAAAATAAGTCGACAATGATTTAATCCCCTTTAGGTCAGGTAACTTTGTAAAAGAGCAATGTTCCTCGTTACAAATAACGTTTAAAGCTATAACAAAAACAGGCAACGCAACTATCGATATCAAGGCACCATAAAGACCACCAAACTCCACTAAATTTTTGGTGTCGCTGAACTCCTGAAGTTCTGTCTGGGATTTTTTTATTAAAACATCATCTTCGTCTGAAAATTCACCAAGCCGTTTAGTAATCGTTACCGAATCGAAATGTTTTAAATGTACAACGCGTTCGATTTCACGGTTTTGTGAAGCACGTGTGAAACGATGAACCAGGCCTATTGAGTCTGCACCTTCTGTTTCTACTGCCTTCAATTCACCCTATAAAAAAAATTAAAGTTAATCCATACATTTTGTATAAGAAACTGACTATTCTACATTTTTTAAATATTAGGTTAATTTAAACTAACCTTGTCTTCAGGTTCAATTTCAAAATCTTTCCGCCTCGATCTGCCTCTTACCATAGCTTTTGGTTTTTCTAACTTCTCAGGTACACTTTCAGCATTATCTGAATCGGTGTCCGTATCAACAATAATTTTTTTTCTAGGACGCACCAAAGGAATATCTAAAAAATTATACATAGCGTAAGTGATAAAAAAATATACGTATATCAAAATTATTTACGATGTTTTCTTTAATTTTGTGCCTGAAAGTTAAAAGTTAATGTGTGCACTCTTGAAAACAAAAGTAAAAAAGTTTAATAGCGAAAACTGCATCTTTTTTTAATTCTTTTAAGAAATTTCCTTCTTTGGCTATTTTTCTGTAACATTGATGACATTTTTCTATAGTTTCTCAGTTACAACCCAAACTTATATACATATTTAAAGAAACGCCAACGTGTTTTTCTAATTTTGAATTCTGCGTAAAATTTCTTTTCTAATGATGCACCCTGTAATAACTATGCAAGACTAGAAGTTATAGAAAAAGATATGAATTCTATTAAAAAAACTGAATAAATGAATTATACAATTTTCACAAATAAAAAAGACAATCGGCATTACAGAAAAACATCCAAAAGTGTACGTATGTCAAACGAATATAGATATCGAAATGCAGTTTTCCCCTATTAATTTTTTTCGGAAACCGAAAATATTACTTCTTCACAAAATTTTTCTAACTTTTTGGATCATGTGAGAAACCTCCCTCCAAGTGTCGATTTTGGTTCAGCTTGTATAGCATATTCAGGAAAGGAAAAATAAATTGACCATATTTTTAACGACATGAAAAGATGTTGAAGAAAGTTGTTTACAATAATTACAATTTCAATTTGTGGGTTAATCATTCTACTTCAATTTTTCTAAACTAAAAAAACGACATCGGATAAACACTAAAGAAAAGAAAAAACCAGTAAAAAGCTAGCTAGCTTGTGTAGCAACAGTAACAAATATCTTTGATTTATCATTCCACTATGCTATGCAACGAAATGGAATCTTAAATTATCGTCTAATGGATCAGACAGTTCTTAGTTATTAAAAAATCACAAATTCAAATTATCTTAAAAGGGAGTAAAGTAATTATAAATCAATTTCCAACTGTCCTCTAGACTTTTGTTTTTTGAGTGTAGGCATGGACAAAGCGCAACTTTATACAAATGAAAAAATATTCATGCAGACACTAGTTATTAAATCATCATAAAATAGACCATCAAAAAAAAAACAAAAATTAAGTGCTATGAATTTCTTTTTCATAATTTATAAAATAAAAATGTGTTTTTTGCCAACCATTTTACCAAATAATTTTGTTATTTCAGAACTTTTTACTGATTTATTTACAGATTGAAATTCTGACATCTCTAAATAATTTCTGTATCTGTCATAAAATGTCTTCATGTCGATAATAAATTAAAAGCAAAAAAAAAATAATTTTTAAAACAAGCTTTTATTAAAATGAACTAAAAAGAAAATAATAAACCAAGGAGTTTATAAAACCCATAATGTTGTGTAAACCCCAAACCCACAGAAGGGTTGAATATGTCGGCTCTATATAAGTGTCATGAGCAGAAATATAATAATTAGACAAATACTATCAAAAACCTGTATGTTCATATTCTTATCCGATTTAAAAGCTTCTCACGGGGTTTATTTTTAAATGGAATTTTTATTTTAAGGGGTAGGAAATAAGGAAGTTACGCTACACAAGCTCTTAAATTGCATAAGAACATGAACATACCTACTGATTATAGATAGTACGTGTCTATTTATCATACTTTTGTTGATCAGCCATATTCCACTCTTTTGTAGGTTTGAGGTTTACACAACGTTATGGATTGTATGAACTCCTTGATATATTTTTTCTTTTTAGTGCATTTTAATAAAAGCTTGTTTTTAAAATATATTTTTTTTACTTTCCATTTATTTACACCTTTTTAGTTAGAAATATTTCTCAATCTACCCATTTCAAGTAAAGCCTCTACTACTAATCATTGAGGAGTACCCTCGTGAGGAGACAATCCTGACTGAACATCAGGTTACTTCTATCATCTTAGTGTATTGTCACTGAATAAGCATTAAAAATTTCAAAGTCGTAGGTTTAAAGAAAGTTCAAATTAGGTTTGCAAGTCATGAGAACTGAACAAGCATGCAAAATTTCAAAGTTGTAAGTTTAGAGGAAGTGATTCAAATTTATCTTGCAAGATTGTAAAAACAAGGCCATTTACTTCTAGACCATTTTCACATTTCTTTATTTCCTGAACACCCTGTACAGGGAAACTTAAAATTCCCTATGGCAATGTTATTTTAAAAACCAGAAAATCAAACATTACTTTTCTGATAAAATGAAGAATAAACATGTTTTCCCTCTTAGCCACTATAGCCATGAACATACTGTATATTAAATACCAGGAATAAAATAAGTCCAATAGAAAAAAACATCATTAAAAGCATGTCTAACAGTCTGGTGAACATGTGCGCTTGGCTTTCACTTTTTTTTTTACTGAAGTGCTGTGCTCAGCAACTGCTATTAGATTTATTAATACCGATTAATACCAACTCTACAATATATTGTAATTAACTTAACCTAGTGGACAATAACACTAAAGCAATTTTTAAGAATTTGGTTTTTAGTGGAATATGAATTTTTTATTGCAAAAATAAAAAAAGTTTACTAGTTCCACAGAGACGTCAATATGTAGCTAATATAGGGAGTTACTAAACTGCTTGACCAAACTTTAATGGCCGATTCTACATCACACATCAACAAAAAAAGTTTGTACAAAAAAAATATGTCCAAAACCTCTTAATTTTCAAGAAAAATTCATTACTAATAAAAAATTTGGCATACATCGACTATTTTCACTTGCACACATATACGTTTTAACCATACCAGAAGGTTGCATTAGTTTCAATGCTCCAATTAAAAAATGCTTAATGAATCATAAGAACTTTATCAGGATTTTTGGAATTTTCACTTAACAACATTAGGAGGTTCAAAAAATTGGATAAATTATTATTAGAACTCTTCAAGAATACGCTGACAAAATTTCAAAACAAAATTCCTATTCGTTCCGATTTTATGAATCTAAAACAAAACGCCCATCGGGTCAGCACTCGGGCGCACAGCGGGTAGAACGGAGCGCTTGTTCAGGTAATCTAGTCTCTTAGAACAGATGCAAGCTCAGAATGATGCCTATGAGGAAGAAGAAGGAGGACTGTTATATGGTGCTGGAATCAATTCAAATGCGTTTCTCTCGAAACAAAATTTTTTGAGTCACGGAAACTCTAACTCAAAAAGTTATGAACCGATCGTTATGAAAATTGAAAGTATATTTTTTATGAAATTACAGAGAACATGATCCAACAATTAGGATGAAATAATATTAAGGCTAAGTTTTTATTCAAAATAAGTGAAAAAGATGGTAAAAATCAATACATTTTTCTCAAACGTGTCAAAACTTCAATTTTCACAATTTTTACCTACAATGAGGTTCAATAATGCTGGAAGACAACCATTTTGCTTTCAGATCCGAATTGCGACCTCCACATTTCCCGTGAACAACCAACTCGGACAACGAACTTCGGTGGACAACAGCCCATAACTTCGGCATTTTCAGCCACAAGTGACTTGAAAAAATTTGTAAATGGAGTTCAAAATATTAATAAAATAATGTCTAAGTTTCATCAAATTCCAATCAATTTGTCCAACTCAAAAAAATGTATGAGAAACGCCGGAAAATCAGCTTCCTAATATGGTTTCCCCCTTAAATCCGAATCGCAATTACTCTATAAGTGTCTTCTTTTAATCATGTTGCAGCCCACCTATGCCTCGAAAACTAATTGCTTTCAATATAGACTATTTTATAAAACATATGGAGTATTTTACGTCATTTAAATCAAACTGTAGTTTTAAAGGTGGGATGCAAACACATACTGTAAGAATACTGTAGGCGAATGTATTCAAATTATCCGAAAAATGCCCTATAAAAATTAGCCACAAATTTATCTGTGATAACCAGTTAAGATATTATAAGGTTTTCATAGTCTATAACAAAAAGTAGATGTGACAAAATTTCATGTTTATTTTAAATTCAGATTCAAACTTCTACTTCAAATAAAATGTATTAGGCCTTCGTCATTTTCAACTTTAGAATTAAAAGTTAGTGCAACTTCAGTTCACCTTATGTACTTTTATATAGTTATCTAAAAATAGCACAAACTTACCTCTTTCTTTATCTTCAGAAGGTTCCTTCACAAGCCTTGCTGGAGATCTTCGAATGGGGCTCCTCCTGGATGGGGTAAGAATTGGGGTAGATCTTGGAGTGGATGTTGTTGGTGATGTATTTCTAAGTCTAGCTGGGCTTCTGGTTCTAGTGCTCGATCTTGTAGGGGTTTCAGAAGTTGCTTTTACAGTTTCGGGCCTAGTTCTACTAGGACTAGTCCTTGCTGGACTTTTCGTTCTCCCTGGGCTCTTCGGTCTGCCAGGACTTTTCGATCTTCCAGGACTTTTCGGTCTCCCAGGACTTTTCTTCGATTTTGCCACAGGATTGTCTTGGTCAGGGGAAGCCTTAGAGGTTGTTTTAGTTTTTCCCACCATTCTTTAAAGTAAAGTAGTAAACATAGATTAATATTTATTTACTTCTTCCCGATCACATTTTAAAATGTAAACAGACAGGTCAACAAAAGTTCACGAGGTTATTTTTTACTATTTACTTAACAAATGGCGCCAAAGCACATTCCCACATGCAAATGAAATATGAATTTGTTTATTTAAAACGCAAAATTGCACCAATTTCACTTACTTTTGGAAATTTAATTAAAATAGACTTTTCCGTCAAAAATAATTATAACAATCCACGCTCTCTTTTCTTTTACTAACGAAGCGACGCCGTCAACGACGTAGGTGGGGGGGATTGAAACGCCAGAAATAATTATCGTTTAAAATTCCTTTACGTGATTGGATAATTAGCACCACACAAATCGAAAAAGAAATAATAAAATTATATAGATACGTTCAAGAATAATTTAAATATACATATATTAGCTGGAAAATAATAAGTTTTTCCTTTAAAAAATTCTAATTCGTCTATGTTTTTCACAGTTGCTGATGAAGAGACTAAAAATACGTAGAAATGAAAATAGAAGGTCTGTACACTAGCACGTGGTAATATGTCAACAAAAATAATAATTTCAGAAATTTTTATCTTAATTTTGTAGTGGTTAAAATGGCACTGATTTTTAGGTAATGATAGTTATGTTAAAAAAAACAGTAACTAAAAAATAAACTGATTATCAATGTACAAATACGTAAATAATTTCATTATGTAATATTTTTAGGTTAGCTGGTAAAAGATGTGGATCCCAAATCTTAAATGCTGAAAAAACTGGTTTGTATAGTTTTATACGCCCTGTAGGGCTAAAGGCTCAACCAGCTACAACTGAACGAGAAGAAAGTCACGATGAAAGGAATATGAGATTGAAAAGACCTCAGTCCCCGCACCTGACTATTTATGCTCCTCAACTGACAAGCATGTTGTCAATTACTCACAGATTTACAGGTCTAATTTTTTTTGTATTTTGAAAATGAATTCAGTTCATTATACGATGATAGCATAGCTTATATAACCAACAGTAAATCTAAAATGAGTGGTGCCATTCCTAATTGAACCATTTTCAAATTTTGAAATTTGTTTAGTATCTCTGTTAAACATAGGAATAATTTTATAAATGAACAAAATTTTGTAGTCTTACTCTAGATGATTGACCATTGGGTGCCGGATACTAGTGGTGCATTTCTTATTAAAAATTTTTGTACCTTTTTAGGTATGACCCTTGCTAGCTATGCAATTGCTCTTGGATTGGGTGCTGTTGTTCTCCCAGAATCTATTCCATATTACATTGAAGAACTAGAGTGTGCTCAGTTGGGTTCAGCTTTCATATCTACTCTTAAATTTCTCTTAGCGTTTCCCTTAACCTACCATTTTTGGAATGGGATTAGACATCTTTTGTGGGACACTGGTAAATTTCTTACCATCAAAGAAGTATACATTACAGGATATGTAATGTTGGCTCTGGCCCTCTCATCGGCTATCGCACTTTCTGTTATGTAATTCATAATTTTTTTCTTTGTTAATTTATAAATTTATTTATTTTAATTTAAATTAAATTCTAGAAACAATATGTCTTTTATTTCATACTGAAATTTGAAATATTAGCTTTTTCAGCATATTTTATACCCTATCCTATTGTACCCATTTTATTGACAAATTCTCTAGTCAAAATTTGGAGAAATAAGTTAAATTTATCATAACAGGATAATAAAATTATTGAAATAAAACTACCCACAGTTCATACCACGATATTGCACCAACAAAATTGTGTGGGTAATGTTTATTTTTGTTATTAGTACACTTTTCCCAAATATTTAATATTAAATAACACGTGTCCCACAAAAATTATCAATCTGCCAAGGTCCACAAAATTTCAAGCAGTGTGATGTACATGAAAAATTTGTCAGCTTTAAAACGTAAAAAAAGAAAACAGTGAATTTTAAGGTATTCTTAACATAATGACGGATTAAATTAAATTTGGTGATGAATTTGTGGTTGCCATGCAAGCAGAAAAAATTTTCTTTTAATATTTATATGTGATTTGTTAATTTACATCACACTAATTGAAAAGAAAGTTAGCAAATCACACACAGGTTGTTTCTGAAATAAATGCATTGAGACAGTTGAATTGGGAAGGAGGCGAACACACAAATTCGCCTACCTTTCCAATCCAAACCGAAAACCCGCCACGGTTGCAAAATTAATCGCCGTCGGCCGGGTAAATCAAAAAAGCCTCCACGGTATCATTTCAGACATCGAACTCGATACCGTCTGAGAGCGATTTCCGCGACTCTGCATCCTAGTGCGGACGTCGCCCCATCACATGACATCAATCCTCCCGGCGATAGCGTCTCCGAAGACCAATTTCACCGATGTTTCTAATATTCCCACATCGCGGCCGATCTCCTGGGTCTGCCATCCCGGCGCTCATCAGTATTCACTGCAGCGACTCTCGCAACCTGCAGACGACCCCCCGGCGCGCTTCAGGGCGATATTTGGAAACAACCATCTAAATTTTTACTAACCTTTCGAATTGGTCCAAAGACGCTATCGTCAATAACTCGAAAAATTATTGAGCGATCGGTGCCAAAATTTAACGCAGCACTCCTCAAGTCCCTGGCATTATCTCCCTAAAATTCCGTTCGAATCGGATGAGCCAAAACGCCGTTATTAGTGATGGGCGGGTCGGGTCTGACCCGGATCAAAGATTCGGATCTTTACGATGATCTGACTGACCCGAATCCCGATATAAGTTCTGTCGGATCACTCGGGTCGCGGACCTCAGCTAATCTCGTATGGCCGTGCTGTGGCACTATGTAATGAAATTGATCGCAGAGGTTTACGGAGTACGCCGCCGCTCCCGAGACCCGTATGTAGTGATGGGAAGACTCGTGTATTTTAGTGACCCGGGTCATCTAGATCAATCATTATGATGACCCGTTCTGCCCATTCATGCGGCTGAGCCACCTGCAGTAGCGAGAGCGGTGACATCAGATGATTATGATATATTTTATTGGCTCGTTATTTCCATCAGCTGCTCGATTTTGTTTAGTAAAATAAAAACAGTTTTATTCTCTCATGTCAAGTGAATTATTATGTGAAAAATAATGTAGACTATAGGATTTAGTAGATATTTAGATACCTATCTTTCTACTAACTTACCTTGCAACCTTTAAGGATATATTTTATTTATTTAAATCGTTTTTTTATTTTTTGATAAGTGGATATAATAGCTATTTATGATATAATTTTGGATATATATTTTTCCTTTCATACCACCACAGCAATGGATCTTCATGTCTAACAACAACAACAACAATTTTTTTAGATTCAAAAGGTTCAAGAAAACATAAAATATACCTATATAACGGCCTTATGCTTATCTATAATGTAATATACTATTATATTTGATTTGTGTCAATTGTGTCAAATAAAATATTACTACTACTAAAGAACTGCTCTTTTTTGCGATGTATGCAAGTAACATCGAAAGGCAAACATCGATATTGGAATCGATGTTTCGAACTTTCTAACATCGATGACAATTGACAAACCATCGACAGAAAAACATCGATGCTTTCCAAACATCGGATATTATTGCCCAGCACTAATACCCCAGATTCTAATACAGTCCCACAACCAGAACCGTTCAGTCAACGTCGGATCCAGAACGAAGCGACCGACCCGACGACCCGGGATCCGGATCATAGATTCGGCTCATTGAAGAGACCCGGATCCGGTGACCCGAATCCTAAAAATGACCCGTTTTGCCCTTCACTAGCCGTTATACGGGGAAACGCGGATTTTACGTTTTCCGCGTTTTTAGCCGTTCTGCTAATTCGATCTCGGCCGAACCTCAAAATCACACTAGAGCATCCCTAGGTGGTTATCATATCCAAATTCGAGCCGAATCGTGCGACTACTAACGGCCAGCTAAAAGCCATAATAGAATTTCACGTTTTCCTAGCTGCCGCCGGAAGTGTCCGCGCGATCTCGGCCGAACCCTCCAACACGGTACTACTCCGTACCGTGCATCTACATACCACTTCTGAACCAGATCCATCCAGTATTAAGACCTCCGTAAGACCTTTTACGAAGACGGGGAAAATTTCACCGATGTTTCCAATTTCCCCGTCTTTGGGCCGAAAGAACCGTCTTCCGAGTGTTCCACCGCTCTAGTGGTCGAATGCGATGCTCGGTAGCCTTAAGCCGAGACCACAGGTAGATTTTTTTCAAAATGGGAAAAAGCTCCAAAATCTCCGATACCGACATCAACTATCCGAAGAGGCCAGAGTGGAACGAGATCTGACGTCGACGGCGACGAAGGGCGCTTTTTGCTGGAGATTTTAGAGGAAAGCGGTCGACCGTCTACTTGCGACATCTACAGTACTTTAGTGGGAGTGCATAGTGCGAAGAACGACATAAAGCGATATTGTAACAAGTATTATTCTATGGTAAATAACTTGTATATGTTAAGTTATAGCATTTATTGTCCGTTTTGACTATTCAATAAAACTTTTAACATATCTTCCACGGTTTGATTGAAAAAACCCTGTCATCAAACTCAAGAACTTTTGGAGCTCACAGCTCACAGGCTCGCTTCACGAGGCTCCCGTCAAGGCTGCCATTCCTTGACGCGGCCATTAATAGTGCTTAAGCGCCCCACACACTTTCGGGCTTCGTGACAGTTATATCCGAACTTGATTACACCGTACGGGTAAACATGAAAGTGTATGTGCATCCCGAATAAAATTGTCCTGAACGGGTAATCCCGAATAACATCAGGCGTCATTTGAAATTCGTCTGGACCGGACGCCGTGATTAACCGGCCTAACTTAACCTTAAAGCTGTACTACTACATATTTTTTGATATAGATACTCGCCAACTATCTAAAGATTTTGTATTGGAATTTTTGGAGATATATCGTTTCTAACCGCCGCCATTATTCCATGGCTAGAAATTGGCCTCAATGATTTGGGATCGAGGGGGATTATCCCTCTTTATCCTGCCTCATCTCGTGTAGGCCTGGACAGCCTTCGTAGGTGGGCCCCANTTCATTTCTATAGTATATAAGTACATTATTATGTAACAAATTACATAGTGTTATATTTTATAGGATGGTTTGCAGAATCTAGATTCTCTGCAAAACATGTCTGTGGCGACCCACCAATAACATCTGAAAAATCAATATTGCTGTCAATATGGTACCTGGCAAATAATGAAACATTCAGGCAAATATGTGATCGATTTGGAGTTAGCATAAGTTCTGCACATCGAGTACTTATTCGAGTCTTATATTTTTTATTAAGTTTAAAGCAAGAATATATAGTGTGGCCAAATAATGCTAGAAAAATAATTGTTTCGGAGAATTTCAAAAGTAAACAAAACATTAAAAATATCATTGGAACTATTGATGGCTGTCATATCAAGATTAATAGGCCTCTTGAACATGAAGAGGCTTATGTCAATAGAAAGCAGTATCACAGCTTGATACTTCAGGCTGTTTCAGATCACACAAAATTATTTATTGATGTCTGTTGTGGTGAACCCGGCTCACTACACGATGCTCGTGTTTTAAGAAGATCTAGTCTTTATAGAAGAGCACAAGTACCTAATTATTTTGGACAATATTTTCTAATAGGAGATTCAGCATATCCTGCACTAACCTGGCTTGTAACACCATTCAAAGATAATGGAAATTTAACTGAAAATCAAAGGTTATTTAATTACAAATTATCATCAACAAGAATGATAATAGAACATGCTTTTGGCTTGTTAAAAGGCCGATTTAGAAGACTAAACCATATAGCCAACTTGGATATTCGGACTAGTGTCAAAATAATAATGTCCTGTTGCATTCTACATAATATATGCATAATGCACAAAGACCGCACTGAAATTGTACATAATGGGGATACTGATTTACACTGTAATATTAATTACACAGAAACAATTACACTGGGTCATGAAACGGGTATCAATAGAAGAAATGACATTTTTCAAGAAATATTTCAAAATTAATAAAATGGTTTAGTATTGTTAATCTTTTCCCAGAACTATTTCTATTGTTTTATTGTTTATATTGTCTGTGTTTAAGATATTCTAAGTAAATTTTTGTGAAATGGTGAAATAAAGGAAACAAAATTCTTTTTAACAAAGTCTGAGGCTATACAACCGTCATTATCAAATTCTAGTAGTAGCTTCACAGCAGATGAAAATTCTCAAAGTTTATGGGATCATCATAAAAAACTTGCGGAAAGTTTTAACAATCGGGGTATCCACGATAGTAGTCATGAAGACCAAAATCTAATTATAAGTGCTGAAATTAGTCAATATTTGAATGCTCCTGTCAATAATTTGCATGAAGATCCGTTTGTTGTGTGGGAAAAATATAAAATGGTGTATCCCAAACTTTATTTCTTAGCAAGAAAATTTTTGCAAATAACAGCAACAAGTGTTCCTTCAGAACGTCTCTTTTCAGAAACTGGAAATATCTTGACAGACCAAAGAAGCAGATTAACTCCTGAAAGACTTAATAAATTATTATTTTTAAGTTCGTTAGACTACGAAGACTGGCATTACATGAATTTATGTTAAAGTTGCATTTGTGTTGTATAATATTCTAATATTTTTTTTATTGATCTCAAAAGATACCTATCAAAATTCAAGACAACAAAATTACTTTCTATTTTTAAATGCAAAAGCTAAATTGTATGACAAAAAATCAGAAAATCATAGGCATTTTTTATAAGAAAAATTGTATTAACTTTGCAAATATTAAAACTTCATTCAAAAACCCTGACTTGAATTTTACTTGGATAATTTTGAACATATTTTGTGAATTTAAAGTTTATTTAAAAAAAAACTTATTTTTACATTTTTTAAATGTATTATAAATTTTTTTGAATATTTATTTTTATATTTTTTAAACACCCTTAATAAAAAAATTTTATACTAGTCCCTAGGGTTAATTTTTGTTTCGATATTCGAAAAAAATCGATGTTTTACTCCGATATATCGAGCATCGATAATAAATTATTTTATAATCGATATAACATAACATCGATGTTTTTCATTAAATCTGCCCATCCCTAGATTACACTATTACACATTAACATTAACTACTTAACCTAAGAAATCATAGATTATGGATAAAATTTGAGACTGTGCTTCAAACACAAAATAAAAGGTAGATGCTTCAGGGGATAGCGGAAATCACAATCATGCGCATCAAACGCAGATAAATAATAGGAGCTGGAACATGCGTTTCAAGCTTTTGCGTACCCAAATGCTTGTTTGCGTGCACAAAAGTGCCAGCTGGAAAGCGACTCAGCTTACAGCTGTCAACTAACTGTCAAAATGCAATAATAAAGTCAAAAAGTTACTTTTTTTAAAAAGCTTTAAGTTCTTAGATCACCGAGTTCAAAAGTGATGTCATAAACTTATATCATGTTTGATTTCTTATCCACAAAGTTAAGCACAAAAAATAAGTTACTTGCTCTATTATTGCATTTTGACAGTTAGTTGACAGCTTGTTGACAGCTGTAAGCTGATGACTACATAATTTTATATCATATTTATATTCACTTATCTAAAAAACTTGAAGTTATAAACAAAAAATAATTTTTTGACTTTATTACCGGACTTTGAAGAATTGTTGACAGCTAAATGACAGCTGCCGATAGTCATTGTTATTGATTTGATATCGTCTTTGAACTTATCGAACTAAAAAAAAAGAAAGATAAAACATAAAAAAACAAGTTTTTGGCTTTATTATAGCACATTGACAGCTATTTGACAGCTGCCAACTGTCAATTTTGAAAATCTAACAACAGATCTGAATTCAGCAACCTCAAAAATATAAACCTAGATAATAAAAAAAATGAAATAGGCTATTTCAAAAGTCTATACACACTGCGCATATACATAAATCCGTGGAGGATATTCGGAGCTTTAAAGCTCTGTACCGGCCAAACTATCCATTTTTGAGCTTTGTGGCCATTGAGACAATTGACCAGTATGATGAACTCTATCAAATATCAAAAATTCAAAGAATTTGACCGGGACCCAATTTCCATAAGATTTGTGCGGGGTCCTTTAGAAACAGGATCGATCAGGATAACAGAAGGTATTTTACACGTGTTGCACTTCATGGTCTTCCGATACCAAGATTTTTTTTTTTAACCGAATATATTTAGTAAAATTATATTTTCATAATTTGGGGGTTCTCCATATATGTACAGAGCCACCCTTAAATCGCTACTCGCATTCCTGAATAATTTTCAAGGAATTTGAGGAATAATAAAAAAGAAGTCTAACATTTAATACATTTATTACTTAAAATTTTCATACACGACATACATTTGTTCTATAACCATGCGACGATCAATAAAAAATACCATTTACAAATAGATCAAACCTCCGGATTTATAAATAAAAGGTACAATCGATAATAAAGAGCCTAACAATAAAAAACTGCTGAACTTAGTACACCTAGCGATATATACATAAAATTATGTGTTTCACAATTTAATTTGGATGTTTCCCCGAGGTAAACGCTCGGCTCTAAAACGCTAAAGATTTAGTGTGCGTGCGTGCGCCGCCGATCCCGCTCCTAATAAGCGTGATTCTTGACGAAGAGTCCAGCATCTCCGGCCTTTCCTTCGACGCTGCCCGCCGCGTACGTCCCCAAAGACGCCTGGCTGTTGGCCTGCAAAACAAAAACAACACGTGCGATATGAAGTAGGGGGATTTAAAAAAATTTGGGATTATTAAGGTTGGAGACATTGAGGCAAAATTTCACTCACCTTTGCACGTTTCAGCAGTTCCTGCTGGGCGGCGGCCACGTTCTCGTCCTTGCCTTGCCAGGCGCGGAGGACGGACGCTTGGAGGGCGCGGCCGTAGCTGAAGGTGAGGGCCCACGGTTTCTTCACCTGCAATCTGGGAAACGAAGAAAGAATAATAAAATAATCATTGGAACCTTTATTTATTTAAAAATTTAATTGAAAAATTCAATCGGAATCATCAAGTATAAAATATTTTAAAATTCCGAGAAAAAAATGTTTGACATTACAATGTTTACTAAAGTTTGTCAACAAATCCTAAGAGGGCAAATTAATAAAATATTTGAGACAACTTAACAAAATTCAAGACATATGGTGAATTTGGAAGAGGCGAACAGGCAGCATGGCCAGCGAACTGCCCTGATTTAAATCCTCTCGACTTTTTTGCCGGGACATTTAAAAAGAAACTTCCCGACGATTTAGGCGAATGCACCACAGCTGTCGGCAATACATTTATAAAATGTATTGCCATCTAGTAATTTCATCCCTAACTTCAACTAGTTGTCTAAGTTATAAATACACACAGATAGAAAAACATTTTTTTTTTAATTATTTGTGAATCGCCCCGTTTCGTTAGACAAACGTCAAACTTAGGGATAAAAGCCTTAGAAGGCACAGAAAAAACATTTTTTTCTTTTCCGCTAAACAACTCGCTACTTACTTATTCATAGCGTCCAAGTTGACAGACGCCTCCTCCTCGGACTGACCCCCGGACAGGAAGGTGATGCCGGGCACTGCAGCTGGCACCCTGCGCTGGAGAGCGGTGACAGTGGCGATGGCGATTTCGGCGGGGCTCGCCCTGGCGGCGGCTCCCTGACCCGGCGTCACCATGTTGGGCTTGAGGAGGGTGCCCTCCAAGAAGACGTTGTGGTCGGCCAGGGCCTGGAGTAAGAAGCACGTATGTTTAAATTTTGTGACCTCGTCAACACATTCACAGCAGTACGGGGTATACCCTGTAACGCCTGTATATAACGGGGCATTGGATTCGATGTGGAATATAACTGTGAAATTCTAGTGCATCGTACGATTTCGATAACAATTTATTACAAGGTTCATAGTTCAAAAGTAGTATGGAATTCCCCAACGTATGAAAAAAAAAAAAATCCAAGTCACTTGTAGTTCATTTTTACTAAGTCTTTATGCATTAAACTTTTTCTAGAATGGACTCCGTAATATTTTTTTAAACCCAAAGAATCTCTTATAAAGGTTTTAAAACTGTAAATAGTTTTCTTTTTCAAGAGCCCAGGGCCTGCTTTTACAAAATTTCCAGTTGCAAATATCAAATTCCCCGACTTTCAGCAATACTTTTAAAATCTCCTGATAGACCAGGGCGGATCTGTCGACAAATCTCTCTTCTTGAATGTAAAAGGGAGGTCCGGAGTATTTTCAAAATTGCAAAAATGTTTAAAAAATTTTAAAAAATACTTATTTTATCTGAGTTTTTTACTTATATCCTTTGCTCCGAGGGCATTCTAATTTTGGTAAAAAAAAACTTTAGAGTATAATAAAACAGCACATCAAATTTCGTTAAAATCGGTTAGTTTTCGCAAAATAATTTTTTGAAAATTTCGTAAAAATTTTTCGAGTTTTCAAGATGTTGCACAGTCTCAAATAAAGCATCTAGATACTTGAAAATGTTTTCACATAGAAAAGATCGCCCAACCTTTCAAATGGTTTTTGAAAATTTGAAATCGGTTGATTAGGACGGCCACAGTAGATTTTTAAAGTTAACACACTTTTTTTTATTTTTAAACAATTAGATTACATTTATCAATTTGCAATTTAGTTTTTCAAAAATTATAATTTTAAAGTACTCGGAAAGACGCTTCTTTAAAAAAAAAGTTAAATTCCGTTTATTGGTTCTTCAGATATTAGCGGTCAAAGTTTGTCGGCATTTACCGTAAATTTATAAACAATTTAGCAATGATCCAGTGGCTGTTTTTCCGAATTCTAAGCTGGAAAAAATTTTCATGTCCATAAGGTATCGGCAACATAGATAAATCAGCGGAAAAGCAGTCGCTCGCGCGAAAAGAGACTCAAAACACGAAAAGTGAGGGAGGGGGCTTTCGCTTCGAGACTGAATTTGGAAGTTCAAAATGCAAAGGTACGAAAAAAATTGCATTATCTCGGCTTCTAATGGACCAATTTCGATCTTTTTTTTTCAATCCGATGTATTAAAAAAAAATTATTTGGAAATTAATTTTTTTGTTAAATACAGATAAAATTAAGAAAAGTCCTTTAAAATTATAATTTTTGAAAAAAACTAAATTACGAATTGATAAATAAATAAAAATAAAAAAGTGGTAATTTTAAAAATTTACTGGGCCGTCCTAATCAACCGATTTCAATTTTTCAAAAACCATTTGAAAGGTTGGGCCGTATTTTCTATGTGAAAAAATGTTCAAGCATCTAGATGTTTTATTTGAGTCTGTTCCACATTTTGAAAATTCGAAAATTTTTTTCAAAAAATTATTTTGCGAAAACTACCAAACCGATTTTAATGAAGTTTAGTGTGCTGTTTTATTATACTCTTAAAGTTTTTTTTACCAAAATTAGAATGCCCTCAGAGCAATTAAAATATTTTTTAAAAATCCAAAAAAACTAGATTATTTTGCCTTTTCTTCATCAATTATTGCCATTTTGCAACATCGGTAATAAATTTAAGCATTTTTAACTTGCAGTATATTGTGCAAAATTCAATTCTAAAACTTTTTTCCTCTTCAATATTCTTCCAAAGCGCATAGGTTCCAAGATATAAGTAAAAAACTCGGATAAAACAGGTATTTTTTGAATTTTTTTAAACATTTTTTCAATTTTGAAAATGTTCCGGACCACGCCCAGATCTAGGGATCTACACTTCTATTATGCGAGTTGTACTGAAGGTCAGATCCAGAAAAAATTTGCTTGCCCCCACTAACAACCACCTCAGAACAGATCCGTCCTGGTCTATGATTTTTCCTGTATTTTTTATGAAAAATAATTAATTCCCTGACTATTCCCGATTTTCCAGGCCACTACGAACCCTGTTAGGGCTTCATTTGTTTTTTTTATTAAAAAAAAAACTATATTTTAGAAAAAAATATTTAAACTAAAGTTGTAGAACTTTTTATAACAAAAATATTGGGCCAAGCCCGATGCCATTTGATCAGTTATTGAAAAAAAAAAAGCTAAAAATCGCATTTTTTTTAAACTTCTGTATCTTTAAAACAAGATGGATTTTTTTACGAAACTTTCAGAATTTGTAGTCCTTGGCAAGTAGAATAAGCGCATTTTTGTAAAATTGCATAATATTTGATAGTTTTTTCAAAAATTTAGTTTTTGGAAAAAAATACATTTCTTTCAAGTTTCAATAAATCATACAGTAATGCACTTACGTGACTCATCTTGGGCTTAAAATTTTCTCTAAAAGTTGTAATTTTCCTGTGCAAATTGCAAAATAATTGGAAATACATATACGAAAAATCTACCAAAACTGACTTATTTTTTTGGTCGAAAATTGCAGATGTTTTTCTTATCGTTAATCGGATTGGCATTATTGCCATTTGAAAGCCGATATTTTTCGCGAATTAAAAAAAAAAAAATGTCCTACGATCAGCAGGAACCAAGAAATGTTTTAAATAAAAAAAATAGTCCACAATGATCGACCCCCATTCTTATAAACTTAATTTTGTTGGGCCCCGTAAAATGCTTGCGAGGTGGTGAGGAGACTTGTTTTTTTTTTTTGTGTGCTGGTGTTATTAATTCGCTACCTATTGCATACTTTTTCGCACAAAATCATCAACTGACACCAAAAAAAAAAATATATATATAAATATGTTTAGGAGACGTATATCATAAAAACCATTTTTTTTTTATTTGTCTACTTCAAGCTTTAAAAGCTTCCGATTACCCCCCGCTCACTCCCCCTTACCTTATACACGTAGGCGAGCACCGTCTCGGTGACCTTCTGGCACCGCTCGGTGTTATGGTTGCCGTCGGGTAGGATCTCGGGCTCGACGATGGGCACGATCCTGTTGGCCTGGCAGATTGACGCGTAACGGGCCAGCACGTTGGCGTTCTCGATCAGGGCCTGCACGGAGGGGGTGTGCTCGTTGATCTTGAGCACGCAACGCCACTTGGCGAAGTGGCACCCGTCCTTCTTGTACTGGGCGCAGCGTTTTCCCAGATCGTCCAAACCTGAAAAGGGGGAGGCCGTCGGAAAAGAGAAAATTGTAAACGAAATTTAATAATTAAGGAAGCAGAAACCGATAGTTATCGAAAAGGATAATTATTTCTGCTTTATTCAAAAGTTTGTGAGAAAAAAAAATGAATTAATGTAAATATCAAAATTTTTTTTTTTAGTGAGGCTATAAAACAATGCAATGCTATAAGTTGCTTCTAAGTTTTCTGTTTATTCAAAATTTTTTTGTTTTTTTTTTTATTGTAAATTACTGCGATACAAAATGAAATAAACATTATTACGTAATTAAAGATCGATATGTGGTGGTTATTCCTTTACAAATATTATGTAGTGTATTCAAATTTTTTTGTAAATGCACAAATATTTTTAAAAATTCAAGTTTTTAACAAATATAATTGTTATATACAGGGTGATTCACAACTTATCCAAAAAAATTGGGGAAAAGATGCAGCATGAGAAACTGAGTCAATATCATAAAAAAAAATTTTGTAAAATCCTTGTAGTTTCCGAGAAAAAAAATTATTGAAGTTGTAGTACTTTCAACCACTACATAGCTGGACAACTGTAGTCTCTAGCGTAATTCACAATATGCGTGGAGAGCCACGTAGCGTCAGTGACTCCGAATACTGAAATTCGAATTTACAATCGTTGTTGCGATAGTGTTTACAATAGTTTTTTAGTAGTTAGTGCCAAAAATGGCTTGCTTGTATAGCAACTCGGAGTTGATGGATATCGTTTTAATTTATGGTGAAGCAAGACAACATTTGTATTATGGTGAAGTAAGACAACATTTGTGTTAGTTCGTAGAAGCTGAGTAAGACAAACCCAATTTACACGTCAGTGGACAAAATTTGGAACAGTTGTAACATCAGGTATGTCAAATTATTTTACTATTTAAAACCACAAATTAATTTAATTAATAATAACAATAGCGGCAAAAGCAGTTAGTTGAATTTGCCGATATAAAATAGGTGCTATAAAATTCTATTTATTTATTTCCTTGCGAAATTCTTTCAAGGTTTTGTCCGTTCTTATCACACTTTGCCGCCATGCCGGTCGCATTGTACGTGGTCAGGTTTTACAGTGAAACAGTTTCCATTGCCGTGTCGAAGTGTATTTTAAATCATTTTCGAATTGCCCTTTTTGACTCTTTCTTTACAAAATTGTATTTGTAAGAGTCTCCTTGTACATCATATTTTTTTTTGGATAAGTTTTGAATCACCCTGTATATAACAATTTAAGTTATATTTGAAATCGTTTGAACCGTGTCTGAATCAATACAGTTTAGGTGCGGTGACTATCATAACGATAGCAACCTAATAAACAATTAAAATTAGTTGTTTGAAAAAGTAGTGTCAGAATTATACAGGGTAGGAAAGTACCGATGGTCTATCTGAAGTTACGTGAGAGCGATAAAGTAAGCCATAGTAATCCATGCGATAGAGAAGGATGGCTATAATGAAGGATTCTCTTTGTCACCGCCCGTTTCGCCCTTCCACAAATAAGATCCACTTCTTATTTGTGGAAGGGCGAAATGGGCGTCGATTATTAGACACCTTCATTATAGCCATCCTTGTCTATCACATGGATTTCTATGGCTTACTTTATCGCTCTCACGTAACTTCTGATAGACCATCGGTACTTTCCTACACTGTATATTGTAATTCATATTCTGAGTGTTTAATTCAAAATGAGCTCGAAAAGTGAAGACGAGCATTTACCAGGGGAAGTATTGGAAGCGGCACAAAGTGCTGTTTAACAATTAATCACCAAAAAATTGTCGAGACAGTACAAAATTGCCTACAATGAATTCAGAGGGTGACGTAGTTCGAAAATTCAAAAACTGTTCGAAACGTACTGGCATATTTCGAATATAAAATTAAAAAAATTAAACCTTCGATGTTATAGTCAGCATATTCCATGTTAAAAAGTACTCCGCCAAAAAAAAATGTAAATATCAGAAAATTTCCAAATCCTTATTTGAAAAGCAAATCAATTGGATACTGTCCGAAAAGGTCTAGAATTCTAACAAAAGAGGAAATTACGAAATTTTTACAAGAGGCGCCTGATAATAGATTTCTGCTAGAAATGGTAATTCAAATTAATATAAATCGATCGATTTAACTAATGTAAGCAAAAACCAAATGGCCAGCATTAATTTCTTGATTTTTTTGTGTTAAATACAATTTAAAGTGGTATTTAATGATATGTTCTGTATAGTACAAGTGTTATAAAATTATTTATTTGAGGGTAACGAGTGTTTGTGTGTCTTCATCGTAAATTTCTGTGTGACATTATGAAAAAAGATGTATAGGAGTAAAGAATGATGCCGTGTCCAATGGGAGTGTATGAAAATATGAAGTACCACATAAAAAATGTCGTATATCTAGTAAACGCACCTTGAGTGGTACACTCGTCATTGCTTCCGAGAAGCGGGACGACTCCGGTATCAACTTTAATGCCGGGAATGATTCCCCTCTCCTTCAACAGCTCGGTGAAGGGGGTGCCATCGTCGGCCTTCTGGTAGAGGGTCTCGTGGAACAGGATGACGCCCGAGATGTAGTCGCCGATGGTGGGGCAAGTGGTGAACAGCAGTTGCCTGGGAATGATAATACTCAGCTAGTGTGTACGGTACGGAAGAAAGCAAAGATTTCCGTGATCGAATCCCGACCTACCTGTACTTGCGCCTGTTCTCGTCGGTGTTCTCCTGGCCGATATCGGCTAGACGTTTGCCCATGGTAGAGACGGACTCGTCGGCGGCCAGGATGCCCTTGCCGGGTGCCACGATGGCGTTGGCGATCTTGCGGAGCTCATCCTGCAGGGCGGGATCGGGGTAGTTCCAGTGGGTGGTCATTTTCTTTTTAGTAGGACTGGGAAAAGATTTTCTTTATAAACATACAAAATCAAGATGATCCATATTCTTATTCTAAAAAAGTATTTTACATACACAGGCTGTTACAAATTTGCTTCTCACTACAGGGATCTCGGAAACGGTAAGAGGTACGAAGTAGCTTAAATGGGGGCAAAGTTGCGTAATCAGGGGACCAACATTATGCCTGTAAAAAATCAAAGCTAAATTTCGAAATATTTGAAAAAACCGAAATTTTGGAAACCGTTTTTGTTTCATTTCAGCCTTGTTTGAAGTGATATTGAAAAAAGAAGAACACTTTCTCATGGCCACTTTTTGCCTTCTATCGAATGGCATAATCAATTTTTATATGTGACGTTTCGTCTCTCCAGGACCATCAACTTAATTTTTTTAAATACGACCCTAGAAATCTTATTACATTTTTGGCAAGCCTTCATGACTCCCAATACTGTATTGCCTCAGCCCGAACCAGATTCAGACGTTTTATCTCCAAATATTTATCTTCAGTGTATTCGTTTCAAATTTATCTAAATTTTTTAATTAGATTTCTTTGTTTATTGAATTACCGTACACCGTAAGTGTCGTTAGACCCTGTGAAATCCATCTAGTTATTTAAACTATTACCGCCACGCATTAAAATAAAAAATTATTAGTTTTATTCCCATGTCCATAGTTATTTCTAGGCTTCTCGAGTGCTCAAAATTCAAACAAATTCCGATCTATTTTTTTATTTTTTCAGGAAATTCATACAAATACATCTGACATGCTCTTTCACCGTTGCGGTTACAGGTATAATAAATTCCGATAATATTACGCTGATATTCATTTTCAGCTTTTGCCAAAATGAAAATGTTTTTGAACATTTACTGAATTTTTTTAAAGAACAATATTCAGTTGGCGTTTTGGTTGTTCATATGCATTTTTCAGAATTAATTTGTCATAATAAAATTAAAATTAATTTTTAATTTTGACGCAACAACTTATTGAGTTATGTATGACTAAGTGATGGTATAATAGTTAATAATAATATATGTGTTATTGTAACGCGTGTTGGTAATAGTTTAAATAAATAGATGGATTTCACAGGGTCTAACGACACTTACAGTGTACGATAATTCAGTAAACAAAGAAATAAAAAATTTAGATAAATTTGGAACGAATACACTGAAGATGAATTTTCGAGACGAAACGTCTGAATCTGGTTCGGACTGAAGCAGTATAGTACTGCAGATCATGAAGGCTGGCTAAAACTGTAATAAAATTTCTACGGTCGTATTTAAAAAAATGAAGTTGATGATGGTCCTGGAGAGACAAAACGTTACATATAAAAATTGATTATGCCATTCGATAGAGGGCAAAAAGTTCCCACGAGAAAGTGTTGTTCTTTTTTCAATATCACCTCAAACAAAGCTAAAATCAAACAAAAACGGATTTCCAAAATTTCGGTTTTTTTCAAATATTTCGAAAACTAATCATGTTAGCCTTGATTTTTTAGAGGTATAATGTTGGTCCCCTGATTACACAAAATTGCCCCCATTTAAGCTATTTCGTACCTCTTAGCGTTTCTGAGATCCTTGTAGTGAGAAGCAAATTTGTAACAACCTGTATAATTCCATTTCAATTCGAGTTTTTTTTTAAAGGATGGAGCTGAAAAAAGTCTATTAAATCATATTATGTGATTTGAATTTATTTTCAGTTATCGAAGCCCACTTCTATTTTTCTTTTTTTTTTCAATGCCAAAGACAAAAATTTGTTAGTAATTTTTTTATTTAAAATTTGACTACACGACTGGATTTTGTACACCCCTAATGTAATTTATACCACTTTGCATAGTCATATTTTCCTGGGACAACAACAAAAAACTTAAAACTACAAAACTATCAAAAACTGGGGTGTACCTGTTATTTTTTCTGTCTATTTTACTCTTAGAAAATTGTTATAAAAATTAATGCTATCTAAAAAAAACTTTTGTTTTATTAATTATTAAAAAATGTTTTTTTGTTGTCCATACACATGCAATAAAATGACTTTTGTTTCTCCAAAAAAGGAAGCACGATACGAAGAAAATTCAAACGACAAAAAAGTTGTATTTTTAATTGCTTAATGAAAAAAATATATAAAAGTTTGGTAATTATTTACTTTAGTGGCACCACCTCCAATTTTCACAAAATTTCGTCTACCCCCCTATTTTCGATGATGCTGAACACGAATCTGAAGTTTTTTTTTGTGCGGTCCAACCCAGTTTTTGAGAACAAAATTTTTCAAAATTCTAACCTGAATATTTCAGATAACACTACGTAGAACTCTGTATATTTTATGTAGCTTTCAGAACATCTGCAATAAACAATCAACATTGTTTAAGAAACACATTTTCCCAAATTTGAACTAAAGAAAATATGTATTTAATAAATAAAATAATAGTAACTTTATGTGGGATGAACAGAGTTGAATGAGAGTGGGGGAACTCAATGTTGTCATCAGTCATCACGAATTACAAATGGCGGATTCAAACTACAAAATGTTTATTTATTTAAATACATATCTTTTTACTTGAAATTTACGAAAATGTATTTCGTAAACAGTGTTAATTGTTCATAACAGATGTTCTGGAAAGCTACATAAAATATACAGAGTTCTACGTAGTGTTATATGAAATATCCAGGTTAGAATTTTGAAAAATTTTTTCTCGAAAACTAGGTTCGACCGCACAAAAAAAACTGCAGATTCGTGTTCGGCACCATCGAAAATAGGGGGGTAGACAAAATTTCGTGGAAATTGGAGGTGGTGCCACTAAAGTAAATAATTACCAATAATTTTAATCTAGTTAGGGCTAAATTAGCCCCTTTCTACGATAAATAACACTACCAAATTTCAACAAAATCGGCTAAACTAAAAAGTTTGACATACTGTATCTTGAAAACGAAGCGTTATCGGATATATTTATAAAACTGATCGTCTTAGGATCACCCATTGAAGTTTGGCCACATACTTAAAAACACCCTGTATATCGAAGAGCATTTAAAAAAAATTTTCATATAAAAAACTACACATTTTCCCGAAATTTTTTTCTAGAATCACACAAAGTTAATCAATTTCTATTTAAACATTAAAAACGATATCATCCATAAATAATTATGAATACTTAATGTACAAACGTTTATTTCAAGTCTAATTTATAAAAGAATTAATAGGAATAGTACTTCATCGTCATCTTAGGTTGTTTTCAGTGAATTTATTAAAAATAATACATAGTATTTATTTCTCTTACCTAAGTGAATAAAACACAAACGCCCCAATCCAGCCGAGTTTCTAGATACTACTACAAAACAAGTGCACGGTCCCTCAATATTTATTACAAAACAATTACGCCCGAGTGCCTTGTAAAGAAAAACACGATAATCTTTGAACTGTGACGCCGGTAACCTCTACTAATTTTAGGTTAGGTTAGGTTTTAGGTAACCTCTACTGATTAGGGGCTCGCCCTGCTATTTTTGTATTAAAATAATCTAAAGCACTTGAATAAGACAACACCGTTTTACTGTAATCTTATCTGTATGGGTTTAAAGTACCACATAGGTACACCGAAAAACAAATATATACATAAATAACGTGATAATGTAAAAAAAACTGATACCAAACGAAAAAATAACCTTATAAATTTGTTAAGTAATTGTAATTGCAAACGGCCCCGACGTCAGAATGAATATTTTAAATATGTATTCGAAAAAAATTCGTATTCAGCACGACTGATAAATTGAATTTTGCCCGCCACCAACAGATGGCGCGATCATAAGATTCAAATTAGGTAACCTAAGCGAATAAAAAAAAAATCAATATTTTCCAAGCCGCTATGTTAGCAAATACGCCACTTTTGGCAAAATATTTACACGATTTTCAATAGCACTCCCGATGAATATGAATATTATCTCGATTTTGATAAAATCACTTCATTTTAATGACGATAGTTGAACATCCGACAATTCTCGATCAACTGATAAGATATCGAACAAATTACGTTGAAAACAACAATTTTTCTACGAAATCGCGGAAGATTATCAACACGTGCTAAAAATACATTATAACGCGCATATTTTTTTAAAACAAAATCGGTTGCAATTTTGAAAAAAAAATGGATAATTTTTTTCAAAATGATGGCCCAGTTTTTTTGCAACACCCCATACACAAAAAATTTAAAGTAAATTTTCGTGCAACACCGTTGGCTTGAAGACAATGGAAACATACAAGAAAAGTACCTAATCGTTCCTTGTGACCTATTTCTTGGCAAACGAAACAGAATACATTAAATTTATGCGAAATAAATTTTTGATCGTCTTGTGGACGGCGTGCTTTTTCGCTTATTAATTTATAAACAATTCCCCGCGGGCGACAGTGCCAACATTGTAAAAATAGACGTATCTGTAGAAAATCCCTGGCACATGATTACCGAGTGATTTGGAAAGGTCTGGATTTTTTTTAATTCGGCGTACCTGATTTTTTTAGCGTGTTTTTCTTAAAAATTACATAAACAATGTGATAACTTCATCAAATAACAATTGAATTTGCTGGCTGGTATTGACTATATAATATTTAAGTTATAACGACACCGGTAACTTGTGGTTATTATGTTTCCTATTAAATCTCGTTCATAATTAACTTCAGATTATTCCAGAAATGCGTACAATAAAACCAAAACAATTCAATTACAATAAAAAAAATTAATTAAGGTCTAAAGTCAATTAAAGACAATAACTTTGGTCATTCCCTTTTCAATAGATTAGAACAAAATCAACAAATTAATCTGAAACAATTAATCTTAAATAAGATACATATTGACGCTTTAGTACGAAAACATACTATCCCAGATTTCGGTTGGAAAACAATTTCGGTTGGAAAACATGCTATCTCAGTTTGACTAGAAATTTAAGTTAGCACATTGAATGATTGAAACACACTGTTTATTTTATTTTTTTTATTCAACATTTTTCAATTCATTTTGTTAAGTTACTGTTATAAAAGACAAAATTTTTAATTAAAAAAAAAAACAGAATAATATGCAGTATGCTTCAACACGTACATTACTCGACATTTTGCATGTATGAAAAAAATCGAATAATTTTTAGTAATAACAAACATTTTTATAAAGCGAGTCCCGCTGTAATGTTCGGAAGAGGGAAAAGTTTTTTATTTGTAGGTTTACGACAGTCACTCTTTGTAAAAACTCCTGCTTGTTCCAAAACGGTCAAAACTGTTAAAATACTTGTCATTTTTTATACAGGGTGTTCAGTATTTAGAAAAACATTGTTAGAAGCCAAGAATAAAGTACCGTTATTTTTGACAATATCGAAAAATATTATCAGGGATGTCATTTAGGATCCACGGAGGATTAAAAATTTGAGGTTTCACTCGTTTCATTGTGCGGTTATAATAGAGGAATGACAAATGCTGTGGCTATAACAACCAAATAAATAATGTTTACTATCTTTTGTCAAAGTCACTTCGTGATTAATTAGGTAATATTTTATGAGATTACAATAATGCTCACTCGAACAAAAAGTATTTATTGTTCAGTGCTATTGTTTGGTTGAACAAGCAGGAGTTTTTACAAAGAGTGACTTTTTGTCGTAAACCCACAAATAAAAACCTTTTCCCTCTTCCGGACATTACAGCGGGACACGCTGTATACCAAGATATACACTATTTTCTTATAATTTGTTATTTGAAAACACGTCGTGTTGCAGCATACTGCATATTATTATTCTATTTTTAATTAACAATTTTGTCGTTTATAGTAACTTAACAAAATTAATTGAAAAATGTTGAATAAAAAAAATAAAATAAACGGTGTACAGGGTGATTCACTATATTTTGACCCGCCTCTAACTTTTTTGTTTTAAGAGTTATAAAAAAATGTGAAATACAATAGTTGCACGATTTTTTATGATTTTTGAAAATGATGGTTGAAAAACAATTGAAGTCCAAACAAAATGGCCGCTGATCTTAACTTTGTTAATTTAAATGGAACACCCTGTATATTTTCACATATTTGGATAGAACGTTTCCTGTGGAGCATAGTCATACGTATAAGGTTTGTTGGGGCCATCTCTAAGAATAAGCGAGATACTATTAAAAACGAAAAGAAGGTGTTTTATTAAGAAAATAATACATCTTGTAATTGTTAGGCCTGCATTTTTTCTATTTATATAAGAATTTACAGATTTAGTTATAATATATTCTGACATATCGGACATTGATATAGTCCAAAATGCGTACCTATAGGTATTTTAACTAAATCGCACTAATTAGGCTAATTAGGTGACACGTAGTAATGTCATGATAACTTTGTTATTGATTGACAGTGTATTATTTAATTAAAATGGGTTACACAGAAGTAGAATATTGAAATATAATTTGGAATTAAAATATAGATTATAGACTAAAGAGCATCGAGAAGAACGATATTACAATTTTTTATTTCTGTATAAACCATTTTAATTAAATAATAATACAAACTGTCAAATAATAGCAATGTTATGACATTACCTGTCACTGTCACTGCCTAATTAGTAAGATTTAGTTAAAATACCTATATTAGAGATGGACCCAACAAATCCTATATGACTATACTCGATAGGGAACGTTCTATCTAAATATGTAAAAATATACAGGGTGTTCCATTTAAATTAACAAAGTTAGCATTAGCCGCCATTTTGTTTGGACTTCATTTGTTTTTCAACTATCATTTTCGAAAAATTCATAAAAAATCGTGCAACTTTTGTATCTCACATATTTGTATAACTCTTAAAACAAAAAAGTTAAAGGGGGGGTCAAAATACAGTGAATCACCCTGTACCTAAACATAAATATTCCTTACTTTTTGAAAAATACATTATATAAGTTTATTATAAATATTCTAGTCAAACCGAGATAGCATGTTTTTACTTAAAAATCTGAGTTAGCATGTTTTCCAAGCTTAATTTGAGATAGTATGTTTTCCAACCGAAATTTGAGATAGCATTGTTTTCCAAACGAAATCTGAGATAGCATGTTTTCGTACTAAAGCGTCGATATACAGTAGAATAATACGAGCAATTAAATAAATAATTTACCAAACACAAACAAATTCATTAGACTTTGCCCTTGGCACTGACCTCTAACATCGGACAGATGCAAAAGAAGCTACCATCATAATATACACTTAAATAAAAACACACAGGGTGCTTTTCATTCAGAATTGTGGATAAACTGTATGGAATTAAAAAAAATTGCACTAGATTAAAGAAAAACACCAGCAAGTTCATCAAACAAATTGAATGGGTAATTTTTTAAATTTTAAATTACTCATCAAAGGTACTTCAAAATTAATTGATATCTAGAAGGTATATTTTGCCCTACAATAATTATTTAATAATAGCTATATTGTTGATTGCTAAACCATTGGCTGATACGAATCTAGGTCGAAAAATTTAATACTCGGTTTGAGAAAAAAAATCCATATAGGTACTTGTAAATTTACTTTTTATATTTATCATCAGTTATTTACCGTTTATGTACAATATAAAGCAGGTAATTACACATAATCTGAATGATAACAACTTTCAAAATAATTATCCTCCAGAATTAATCTATAAATAAAACGTCAAATATTTATAACATTATTAACAAAATTACTTAGAGATCTGTCTTGCAACAGGCACAATTAAGTGGAAAACACAGTCAGAACTCGAATATACCCAAAAAGACTCACCTTTCCGCACAAAAATTCGAAAAACTCTTCCTGCACAGAGACTTGGGGTGGAACTAACGGAACAGAGGACAATTTGAGGTCGTACAAGTCAGAACAACTCAAACAACTCGCAGAATACTACGCCCCATTCGCCGTCTTTATTTATGTAAGGGGAATTCTGGGTGTAGAAGGCAAACGGAGATGTCTCACGGTGGAAAAACCTTACGCGGCAAGAGGCACGTCACAATTCCACGACAATCAAGAAAACGAATGTCGCCTTTACGTAAGGTACACTTAAAGCTTAGATTGCCGTGGATTGCGCAAAGTTACGAAACGATTCTGCGACATCTGCCGGAAAATTTGGGAAGTAATGAATGTGACAAATGCTGTAATCTGTATGAAGTTCTAAAGACATCGACGACATCTGTTGGGCAGATACAAATTCGACTATATTATAGGAGAAAATTTTACAGGTTTCTGAACTGACTCAAAGATGGCGGTAATGTATTTGTTCAAAAATTCATTGTAATTTATAGATACAAATGTTCATTTCATAAAAATAACTACATATTTGAAAAACATCATATTCAATTTAAGTTGTTGCAGTAAGTAATTAAACTTTTCCGGAAAACTACCTTTTCACAGACTTTTAAAGGATTTTGTTTTGTGAGATAAATCAATTAAAATAAGTGAATCTATAAATAACCGGATTTCACTTTTCAGTGCCGTCATGTTACAAAAAA